GTTGGGGGCCAAGTTTTCCGGCGCCAGCGAGTTGTTCGTCCACCAACTAACTTTGATGAGCCTTTCTTCAACACTTCGTAGAGCAGCCGCGCAAGGCCTTTCCTTCGCGTTAGGGTAGCGATCCTTCCTAGTCTGATGATATCGCTATTCATTGTTACTTTTTACTACAATGAGTAGTGTTTCTCCGAAAATAAAGTCAGCTGCCTGGGCATTAGGCATTACTCCATGGCATTATACTGCCTAGGCCTAGCGCCTGGACTTGTAAAAAAATTGATTTTGCAAGTCTTCAATCATGTTTGCATGTACGCGCTATCCAGCCATGTGGCGTGAACAGATCGCCTGACGTGAAAGGTAGCGCGGCCCGCGCGAGTCGTACGCGCTCGCGGACGTGTCTGACACGTCAAACGAAAAGATTTTTTTGGCGGGTAGTCGGCAAAAATTAAGTGACGGTCCCTTTACTTTTTAGGCTTTAGTCCTTCGCCTTTGCTAAGTAACGTCAGTTACCATGGTTACGGTATGGCTGGACACCCCAGCGGCTGCCGTCATCATGTGTATGTGGGGTGACCGCCTCTGTGAGCCATCTCTTACCCAGTTGGCGGTTTTCCGTCGATAAGACACAACGAGATTAGACTTTAGAGACGTAACGGCTTCACTTACTGTCTTTTGAAGATCATGACTATGTGCAAGAGTTCATGAACTCTTGCTATGTGACCGTAGCTCTTGAAAGTGCTACGTGACAGCATTGACGGTCCCTTGGCTTTAGTCCTTCGCTTAGCAAAGTCCATCTCTCGTTAGGTGGCCATAGCGACGTAACGGCTTACAGGTCAGCCAACTGGAGCTCCCCTAGGCCCTAGCCCTAGGCTAGAGGTAGTGCATGCATGGTGCCACGCCAGTGCATGAACCCGAGATGAAGTACCGCGTAGATCTACTTACCATACGTATGATATTACCCAAGTACGAGGGTGTTACCTCCCGAATATCATCCCGACTGCGTAGCAGGAGGGATGATATGAGGGTACGGTAACACCCGAGTACGCGGGTCAATATCCTACTTATCCCAGGTACATCTACGCATAGTACCGTACCATGGGATAACTACATTGTATGTACGCTTATCCATGGCCGGCATTGGCCGGATTTTTTTGGCGACGACAACAGCACTCGTAGACTACGCGTAGTCGTAGTCGTACAACTACAAGTACATGTACAACAGTACGTACAAGTACAAGTACATGCATAGTCTGCAGACTAGACGGTCATCATCATAATTATCAGGTCATGTCCCATGACATCGACAGTCATGTCAGTAGCGTCAGTACAATACATGTATACACGTCATCTACACTGTTTCCATTTTTTCATTCTACTACATGTACAATGACGTACTACTAGCTCTCTCTTCTTCATTCATGCCAGCAAGCGGACTCTTGATGCCAGGCGCTGTAGGCGTGAGCCATCCCCTGGCCCTGTACAGTGTAGTACTACTGCCAGTACTGGCCTTGGCCCTGCATGCTGCAAAATGGGTGCTGTAGTCAGTGTAGAGCAGGGACAATTTCTCGTGGGGGGTTATGTACTCTTGGTAGTACTACTCCCTGCTATGCTGCAAAATGGGTGCTGTAGTCAGTGTAGAGCAGGGACTAGTACTACTCCCTGCTATGCTGTAGAGTATAGTCAAAAAAAAATACACGTATCGATCGTGCACATCTAGACTAGGGCATGATCGATTGGGCGAATCCCGAGCAAGTGTGCTCCGAGTGAGCTTGATCGTTTGGTCGAATCCGGAGTAGGTGTACTTGGAGTGGAATCCGACCACACCGGCCCGCACACCGGGAGTGGCCGGAGTGGAAATGGACTTTGCCGTTTTTTTTGTTTTGTTTTTTCACTCTTTGAGCCCCTTGTACGGGCAAAATAACACATTTTGTGAAGAATCAACAAATAAAACGAATCATCAGATACAGTATTTACAGAGTCTGTCACTCAGTAGGATCACTGCACTGTGCAGGTTCACTGGATGCGTGCCTCCGCCGCCACTAGCACAGCAGGGGACTCAGGCACGGCAGGAGCAAACATGCTCCTTGAGCCACGCATGCACATAGCACCACAACGCACCAGGGCAAACCCAAGGCGGCAGCGCAGCAAGGAGATAATCTGCCCGTATGGCTCCTTACTCTTCTCAGCCAGGAGAGAGGCGATCCGCGTGAAAAGAGCATTGGCATGCTTGCCATAGCCACCAGAGGCAGAAAGCACAACGGGCACGAAGGAGGCATGCTCAACTTCACGTACTCGCTCCTCGTACTTCCGGCGCTTTTCCTGTTCATGGCGTCTGTAGCTAGCAGCGAGGGAGGTGGCACGATTCGAAGACGCAAAAGGGTTGAACACCCGTACATCAATAAAGATGCGCTCGAATCGGCCACCCCACACACCACTAGCCGCAACGTCCAGCCGAGCTTGCTCCTCCGTGACAGCTGTGCGATGGCGGAAGGCCTCTCCGGTGACGGGCTGGAGGTGGGGTTCCACTGTCACGTTGTGAGCGACCTGCCTCAGAGCTCTGGCGGTGATGTCCCTCACCTCGTTGTGTCGCAGCGTCGGGAAGCCACCAAACGGGCACGACAGGGCGTGACTCACATTCAGCGGCTTACTGCACACGCAGAGGCTTGGGAGCCGAGGAGGTGTCCAGCCGTACCGGAGGCACAGGCCATCCCGGAAATCTCCCTTGCTGAGTGTGAAACCATGGCGGCTGAGGGGGCGGCAGGTCAGCCAGCTGGATGCACCCTTTGCCGTTTTTGGACAGCTTTCACAGAATCTTTGTACGATATGCGTACATTTTGCGTACTACACCCTTGTTTTGTTCGATTGGGCCAACGTAACCTTGCTCGGACCACACCGCAGGGGCGGATCCAGGGGGGTGCGAAGGGTGCAAATGCTTTGCAATTCTCTTAACTTCTTTTTCGTTTTTTACCAGGCGTGGGCCATCCCCTGGATCAAAATGGGTGCCTTATTATTTATTTAAAAAAAAAAAAAGCAAATGAACCCGTCACTGCAGGCGTCAGGATTTTTCCAAAAAAAAACAAAACAAAAAAAAGGTCAGGCCAGGCCGGCCAGGCCCGGCCATGCCATGGCCCAGGCTCGCTGCGCGGATCCGCGGATGATTTGTGTGCAATCACGTGATCGTTCTGGACACGTGCTCGCGCCAGGGCTGCACATTTGGAATAGAACTTTTTTGGAACTATAAACTGTTACTTTTTCACCGGCAACAAACTCACTTCGAAGTATTAGTTCAGGAGTACAATGGGACAGAGTAGACTAACCGGGCTAGCTCTACTCCACATCCGCTACGACTTGGCTGTTGATGTCACTGACATCGTCGACATGTTCGCCCTCGAGCACCCACGGAAGATGAGGATGACCAACATCATAAGTTCTCCAGGATGCGGAGTGAGGAACTGAACCAGGGAGTAGTACAATATATTGTATTTCGATTTTGACAGCATGTTACAAGGCGAGGACGCGTAGTGCTCCTGACTACAACCATAAACCGGTTGGCAGAGTCCCGGTCTTGCGACCATTTGAACCGTATTGGGAAAACCCAGGTTCGGACCTTTTCCCAATACGGTTCAAATGGTCGCAAGACCGGGACTCTGCCAACCGGTTTATGGTTGTAGTCAGGAGCACTACGCGTCCTCGCCTTGTAACATGCTGTCAAAATCGAAAAACATGTTAACTACCAAGCAAGGCTTCTGTATATACCAATATATTGTATTGTACTACTCCCTGAACTGAACAGCCGCCCTGAATTCTGACTAGAGTTGACATTGTGTATATAGCATGTACATAGCATAATCTGTGTCTGACTGAGAATCATACCCGTAGCAGTCGTAAATTACTTGTAAATTTTGACATTCAATGTGTAACTAATCATACTACTCATCTTGCCAAGTTGGTGCTATGTGTAATTATGATAATTATTATACAGTAACACACATAACATACTATGTCTTTGGTTTACTACTGCAAAAGAAAATACGTAAGTTTCATCCTCGCACCCCTCAGCTTTGGGGTCTGGATCCGCCCCTGCACCGCCTGCTTCAATTGGCAAACCTGTCGTGCTCGCACTCAATCCAGATTTGCCAATCGATGACACCCAAGAGTACTCGTACTCTTGATGACACCCCTATACAGTACACAGGTACAAGCGTACTTTTTTTTATTGTAGATCAGGTCTGCACAAAGACACAGCAAGTGAGCAAAGTGAGCAAAATAATTTTAGAATGAGCAACATGTAAGCATGCAGCAGCGTCGACAGTCATGTTCGCTGCTTGTGGCCGTGTGGGCGACCGATGCGATATCGATGCCGATGTGCCATTATGCACGTGCTAGAACAGTAGTAGAAGTCGGAGCCTACGAATCCGATCGGTGAATCTGTGCTGATCTGCTGAGCTAGCTGATGATGAGTAGCTCGCGAAGTGAACTGTTGTCGATATCTGCGTGGCAGTGCGTGCGCCACATGCACGCGCAGAGTAAAAATTACTTGGTGCTTTACCTCTGGATAACTGTATTTCAATTGTTCCTTTCCACCAGGCTCTGAAGGTTGCAAGGAGATGTTGATTCAGAAGCCGAAGGGCATTCGTTCAGGTTTTTTCGTCTTGGTCACCTTCTTCACGGCATCTACCTTGTTTAGCACTAACACAGAATATTGTTGAACCGCTTTGCGTTCTGTACATGTAGTTTCTGTCAATAAAGAACAATCTTTTCCGTAGATTCAGGCCGTGGAGAGTTTTTTTTATCTCAATTTTACTGCACGCTTCGAGCACATAATACTCGGACTTGACCCAGCCGTATCTTGTAGTTAGCTTCTCACAAAATACTGGCAATAGGATGGCCGATGAGAATTGTCCGTCGCAGGCGCCTGCTGCAGACAACGCTGAATCAAGCAAAGGAGCCTCAGGATCAGATGTACTCCCAATTCCTCAGGCCGTAAAGAATGGTGGTAACTCAGCTTGGGCCGATCTTGTTCCTTCACCCAGGATGAGTGATGCGAATGTGAGCGACAACGAGTTGCCGGGTTCACCGAGTAAACCCAATGATGAAAGGGATGCTCAACCCGAACAGCCAGAAAAGGAAGTTGCTCCAGAGAAGCCGACCAGCAGCAAAAAAAGTAGAAAAGTCGCACTCCCTCCATCCACCAATCCTTGGACCAAAGGCGGCAAAGGGAAGAAGTCAGATGAAGGTGAGCAGTTTTATCTGTACATTTGGAAGCCGTAGCAGTTCGTGGTTCATGTCTTTGATCATAAATACACCACCATGTTCAGGGTTTGTTAATTTTTTTACCATTACGTGCGTGCATCGATGTTTACTATTGTTCTATTTCTCCGTTTCTTGAAGGGAGTGCTAGTGCTGCTCATGTCAACGGTGAAAAATCGGCCAAGTCCGCGGACTCCCAGCCCGACCGTAGCAAGGAAAAAGCTGAAAACACTGCGAAGGCACCGAAGCCGAAAACCCATCACTCAACGAAGAAAGGTCGCAGTGGCAAGGTAAGATCAGTGGCATCGTTTTTGATCTTAATATTTCAGACATAGAACTTTGTGATCACTCTCGCCACAGGCCACATTGTACTTTGTGTTATTTTGTTGCGAAATGTTGCGAAATGCATCAATTAGTTGTGTACACGTGTATTATGTATGATTTTTTCAAAGTCAGTTGCAACACATTTATAATATTTAGGAAACTTCACTTCTCAACTCCAAAAATGGTCTCTTTTATAATAAACGGCAATGAATAAAACTAATTGTGCACTCATGAGTCATAACCATGTACATGTATAAAACAATAATTATTACTAAAATTTAATGAAAAAATTCTATAACGTTTTCTCGTGACTATCATCAGTGGAACATCGTCACATGGTAAAAAATCACTAAAACAACCAGTTATATAGCTAGAATAATATTCACAAAATAGCAGCTCGCGGTTACACATAGCGTCAATTACACCAGCAGTGTGAGTTTATGCATTACAATGTAAATTTGAAAAATGTAGCGGTAAAATACTAAATGAATGAGGCAGCTATGTCACATGTGTGCGTGTGTGGACAACAAAGGGTGAGTGCGTATTATTTAGAAGCTGTCTATATTCGGACACGTGACCCTGTTCTGTGTAAACAGAAAGAAAACGTTGTACCACTCACACTCTTCAAGTAATACGCCCTCACCCTTTGTTGTCCACACACGCACACATGTGACATAGCTGCCTCATTCATTTAGTATTTTACCGCTACATTTTTCACATTTACATTGTAATGCATAAACTCACACTGCTGGTGTAATTGACGCTATGTGTAACCGCGAGCTGCTATTTTGTGAATATTATTCTAGCTATATAACTGGTTGTTTTAGTGATTCTTACCATGTGACGATGTTCCACTGATGATAGTCACGAGAAAACGTTATGGAATTTTTTCATTTAGTAATAAGTATTGTTTTATACATGTACATGGTTATGTCTCATGAGTGCACAATTAGTTTTATTCATTGCCGTTTTACGACTATTGTCTCCTCGTAGGTTATTGAAATCTTTTATAATAACCAGTTTTTATTACTGAATTACCCACACAGCATGAAACACAATTAAAATTTGGTCGTTAGTTAGCTTTAATATAGAAAAAAAGTACCAAGGAACTACAAGTTATGCTATAAAACCAACACCACCAGTTACTTAAACATCAGCTCATGCGATAACGTTTCACGACACTGACCAACGGTACTGGCGTTCTACAACTAACTGCCAATCAGCTCTGGTGGTGTTAATGGACATTATAGCGCAACTTGTAGTTCCTTGGTACTTTTTTTCTTCTGTAAATTTATCCTTGACTCTCCATCTGAGTCCATTCGTTAGTTAGTAGTAATAGTAGGGAGGTTTCACTCTACGGAGTTACGTATGAAAATAACGTAGGAACTGCAAGTAATTTTCATACGTAAAATCAGCGCTGTTGGGTTTCGCCTCTACGTGATTTCTCCACGACTGCTGAGCACGCCTTGTTGCTTTGGAGACGCATTGGCTGCATGCACCACGAACCAAAACCGCGTTTCCAATTTGTTTTTGTACGTGGTGTGTACCTTGTGTTTCGCGCGACATTGACAGTATTAATAGATGTGTCCACGGGGATGCGGCTGGTGGTCCGTATCACCCTCATTATGGAATTCCTTTAGAAGCCGAATATGTACTGTCCACTTTTGTTGTGATGTAGGAGTTTTCGGACGATGCAGCAAGCTGGCCGCCCTTGCATGAAACATCCAAGGTAACTTTGTTGAACGACTTTGTTCTCTTGTTCTACAATGCTGCTCAATGAAATCTGATTGTGTGAGTCAAGTTTGCGCCCTGAACCAGTTTATATCCCGTGTTCAGGTCCACGGCTGCAGAGCGCCCGGCAAGGACTTGGCTCGCTCACTCGAATTTCATTGAGCAGCGCTGTAGTTGCTTAGACTTGAATTGAATGTCTCTCTCGCGCGTGCGCGTGTGTGTACGCGTGTATATGTTTGTGTACACACGCGTATATGTTTGTGTACACACGCGTAGCGGAGTCATAGTTTACTATGGCCCATCTGCTTGAATTCCTTATCGTGATGTTGATAGGTTCACTACTTTCTTCTTCCGGTCTTTGTGTATTCATTTCACAAACACACCTAGCATGCTACTTGTTATTGTTGTTGTTTTAGTCTTCCAAAGAAGGTGGCCACCAAGCAAGCTCCAAGTCGAAAGCGAAAAAATCTGAAGCAAAAAAAGAAGAACAGAAAAAGAAGCGTAAGTTCTTTCTCTTTTGCTGCTTGCCAGGGGCCGTCCGGGGTTACCGATTGTTGTTTGTTTGTTTTCAAAACGAAGAGCTTTAGTGTTTGTCAGTCCCGCCCACCCTTTCTGCAAATATAACGAATTTCAAGAAAATATTAATTTCAATGTTCGCCGCCCAGTGGTACTGGCAATTCTCCGTGTGCATTCAATAATTATTTTCAAAGCGAAACTCCTCTAACCCATCCCGAAATGAAAACGTTTCGTTTAATCCTTTCAGTGCCAGAGCACTTACTACATTGTTGGCCGGCGGCACACACGCTTGCACTACACGCAATGTTCTCATTGGGCAGCAACAGTAGCGCCATTTCGCTCGCCAGTTGCGCATTTTTATCATCTTAAGCTATCTTGAAAGCTGGGGATCTTCTCTGTCGATCTATGGTGCTGAGTGCTCTGCAGGTGCAGGAGAACGGCCTACAAACACTTCGAAAGCCACTCCAACGCACCTTTGTAGTGCTATTATATATGGTGATAACGAGCTTGAAATTACCGTATGTCCGCACCTTTAAAGCCATGGCGGTATATTCGATTATAAAACCAGTCTCACTTATAAAGCCATGGGCTTCATAAATGGAATGACATTTGAAGTATGTTTTGTAAAAATGGAGGAATAAGTACTATGCTTACAAACTTACAGCCCAGCAGTAGTGACTTTACTCCCTCGCACCCAGACGCTGATTTTTGGAAACAAGTTTCTATACTTCCGATGGGAGAATCCGACATGGCAGCGCATTTCGGCGTGGCCAGGTCAAATTGTAGAATATCGCATCGAGTAAATTGCTTTATCTGGGAGAGATGTTCGTGCCATTGAGACCCGAAGTCCCGTTTCCATACGACAAAATTTAGGAGCTCTGCGCTCAGCGCTTTTTCAGGGTATGAATTTCGGGTTGTTCTGGTCGGGTCGCAGCGTCGTAAAACTACTGGCCATGTGATATTACAAGGCGGTGAGACGCTTTCGTCTTCCTCTACGAGCGAATTTGTTCTGCGCCAGCATACCAAAGTATGCAATTTCGTACGCGCAGTTCGAGTGACGAGGCGTGTGCACTGTAGACTGTACTGCATGCACTGACTGTGCGGTCGTTCTCGATTCTCCCATCACTCCCATTCATTTCTGTTTCCAGCAAAAGTCCAACTTGGTGCACTTCAAATCACTATAACTCAAGATTGGCTGGGCCGATTTGAATAATACTTGCAGATTTCCTATGTACTACGCCTGGGAGAATCGAATGAGACCAAAATCGAAGCGATCGGAGCAAGTTTTGGAAATTGGGTGCAGTCACTACCAGCAGGATGGGTGAACAAGTAGATTTAGATTGAAATTTCTGTGTGGACTTTGACTTTTATGGCATGGCGTAGTGGGTGAGTCATTTCGCATCTAAAATATCTAGGAAAGCAGCGGTGTCTCGAATATAAGGCCATGGCTTTAACGGCGCTGACATACGGTAGTACTTTTATTGCTGATAAGCATTAGATGTCCTGTAATTACTTGGTCCGGCTCATCGCAATTGTCGCTTATCTCCCACGCACTTTTTGACAGGTAAAACCCAGTCCAATCACGATATCTAACTTAGTTTTGCTTGGGAGGTTGTGATGGCAAGATCAAAGGAGGCACGAAAGAAAAAATCGCGACTGTACTAGCGCTTTGAATCGCGATGTGTTCGACTTTTTTGGGAAGTGGGAATCTGTCTGTGTTGCCAAAAAAAGCCAAGCGCAGCGACCCGAAGACCGGAACTGTGGTAGGGGCAACTGACATCCTGGAGAGCGTTGCACGGCAGAGGAGTATGAGCGTCATGCTGAAGAAGAAAGGTGTTTTTGATGCGATGCGCCCGGCCAACGTGTTGGTTGTTCCGGGGAACAAGCTGTCTGGAGAGGCCTGTATGCCTCTTTCGAAGGCTTTAAACACACTGTGGCGACACACAGGTCACACTGCCCACGGTTCCTTCAAGCACCGAAGTGACAGCCGCAACTGTTCCTTTCCCATTGCTGCCATACGACAGGCTGAGAAAGCAAGAGATACTCTACCACTGTACCAGTCTACGCCAGCAGCTAGACACCAGCAAATGTCAGCTCGTGTAACGGCGCCACAGCTCGAGTGATGGAGAGTTGAATGAACTCTGGACCTGTAAGAGTGTGAGTGCAAGAACGCGCTCCTTCGCTGATTTATTTCGTGCATTTTGCTTACCTTGCTTCCTTTCTTCGACTCGCTTCACCAGATTCCATCGCTGAAATGTTTTTCTTGTGGCGGAGAGTATTCATGTATCATGCTTCCTCACTATGCCTATTGGAAATTTCACAGAGCGGTAAAAAAACTCCTGTTCTTAGTGGCGATAGATAAGCGACAATTGCGATGAGCCGGACCAAGTATGTTTTTGTTGGTTGTTAAATTGTGTTCTTTCGCAGATAAAAAGAAATGGGCTCCTCTGCCTCTGGAGTCTGGAGGCGCCGGTGCCGATAATGCGTCGTGGAATGATGAGTCTGGTCGCGGTGACAAGTGGTCAGGCCGCCACTGGAACTCTGGTCGGCGCCGTGGCAATGGCGGTGGCCGAGGCCGCTCTCGCGGCGGGCACGGCGGTGGCCGTGGCGGTGGTGCCCGTGCTAGCAACGGGTTGAGCAATGGCCAGGCGGAAGCAGCATACGACCCCAGCCAGTATGCTGTGGCTGAAGATGGCACGATGGTGGCCCAAGAGTATACAGGTAATGTCATCTGCCATAGCTTACTATCATTGTGTCTTTTTCCTGTTGGCATGGCAGTGAAGCTCATCTGGTACAGGCTCGGATAAGACCTACACCCGGGCATTCCGTGCGAGTTTCATGGCACAATTTCCCTCTTCATATGAAGCGCTCATGCAAAAGTGTACTGCCAGAGAATCATTTGTTGCTCGTGTAAATGTATTGTCTGGGCTTTTGTCATCCGGACTCATCCTATATCGAGCTGTTGCCAAGCCCACTGCGTGTGTAAGCACTCGTACTGTAAAACCCATATATATATAACAAAGTGCTAGTTCTAACGAGTTAACGAAGAGAAATCTGTCGTTAACATCGTTATACAGAAATCGATACATAAACTGTTGCTATTCAGCATTGAGAATGAGTGAGAATCGGTACCTTTGGTACACGTAAACCAGTCAATTTTATGAAGTCGTTGTATATGCGCCTCGTTAGAATAATGATGTTTACAGTACGGTAACGTGTTGTGTGGTACTCTGTGGACCCCTACTTACTACTCGGATTGGTGATGTATTGACTGTGTATGGTTTACGGTTGTGTAATCTTGTTTTTGCTGTGTAGAAGACGGAGACTACTACAGCAATGTGTATGTGGGTCCCGATGGGTACTATGTGCCAGCAGATACATATTACTATAGCACCGAGTACCAACTGGAGTACCAGCAGATGCGCCTTACCGCTCAGCTGTGAGTTTTTTTTTTAGTGAGAAAAGCCTCTTGTACGGGCAAAACTCAAAAACAATGTTGCACAATCATGTACACATGTATGTCAAAACTAAAAAATACTTCAGAAGTATGTTTTATAAAAGAGCTAACAGTGACGGTTGTACTGTAAAGAAAAATTGCCTGAAAAGATCAGTTAAAAGCATTCATTGAGTGACAGTCAGTATCTCAATCAGTGCCCAACTCCGATGCCTGCTCCATCATCCTGTTACCCCATTACATGTAACGTCGGGATGAGAATGAGAATTGCACCCTCAACTATTGCCTTGAACTGAACTTTGCTTTGGTTTCCCTTGGCAAGTGGTTATCACCTTGACTTAGGCTTCCTGGAAAATCTGCTGACGAGATGAATACCGTCAACTCAATGTTATGGTAGAAGAATATACACACAATTTTGTCTTTTTTGTAGCTTGGCATCTAAAAGCCGATTTTGAGCGATCCCACTAGTAGTAGAAAGGGAATCGCACCATATCAGTGTTGTGCAAAAGAACATACCAGGTATATTTGTACTAAAGTTTATGTTACAGTGCATTTCCATCCTGGCGATAGCCTGGGGTGTTGGCCGTCTTACCGTATGAGCTGCCTGAAAAAAAACTCGCTGTGAACTCGAAGAAATGTTCCGCGCGAAAGCATGAAAAATTGAAAATTGACTTACCTACTCACTCACATATATACAGAAGCCTTGCTTGGTAGTTTAACATGTTTTTCGATTTTGACAGCATGTTACAAGGCGAGGACGCGTAGTGCTCCTGACTACAACCATAACCCGGCTGGCAGAGTCCCGGTCTTGCGACCATTTGAACCGTATTGGGAAAACCCAGGTTCGGACCCTCGTTACTCTACGGGTTGGTAGGATTTCTATAATTTTCGTTTTTTGTGTAGAAGTCGTCGTGTTGCCGCCGTAGTATTGTTCACGTTGCTGCCGCTGCAGGGATCACGTCTGGAAGGATTTGTGATGTTATTTTCTTGTCTTCCTCTGTAATTAAATTATTTGTAATTTATATTTCTTTTTTCTTTTGTTCTTTTGTTCTTTTTCTTTTTTCTTGTCTTTTTCCAACTTCTGCCCATGGCGTCCTTCTCTCAGCTCGTCAGCTGTAACAGTCATAGTCATCACCATGACGACTGTTGTGAGAAGGTGCTCGCTGCCGACGAGGTTGGTGATGTCCCGACGAGGCCATGGGTCTCGTCGGTAGTCACGTGTTCAAACACTCCGCTCACTACCTCACCACTCAAGACCGATGCGGTTAGTGGCTCACGTGGGCCGTCTGCTCCGACTGCTGAGGCAATGTGCTGCCGAACGTAGCTGGTTGAAGATGCCGGGTCTAAGAGTGCCGTCCCTCTTACACATCTGTCACGGTACTTGACAAGAACCGGCGCAGTCATGAATGACAATGGTGCAGGGGTTGTTCCTTGCTGTTCTCCCGTTGTTCCTTGCTGTTCTCCCGACTTCCTGTCAGCCGCTAGAGTTGTGTCAATGGTCAAGGTCGTGTGTGCTGTTTCTCGTCGACCACCGTTGGCGTCCGCTGGCGACCACCTTGCCTGATCAGCTCTGCTACTCCCTCTTCGATCGTTGATGGTGGCGTCGCTTGCATATGCTGCAGTTGGTCCTGCACTCTTTGGACCAGTGACCACGGGAGAGACAACAGCTGCACACACCTTCGTGCCCGCGCACAATATCCCACTGCTTATCGACTGTAAGCCTCTGGAAATCAGGGCACTTCGTGAGGTGGTGAGGGTCTCCAGAGAGGCCGCAAGGCTCTATGTTCTGCCGCCGGAGTGTGCTGCATTGACGGCATGTGTCGTCTGGGGGAAACCGGCGGCCGAACTGATTGGCCTGTTGGCTTGCTGGAGCTGGTTGGTTCCTGAGGAACTTCGAGAACGTCTCAGCGTCGCACCGTGTATCGTCGTACTTGTCAAAATATGCCGCCAGCACTGCCCTTGGCACCTTCTGCGTAATCGACAAATACAACTCACGGCCTGGAGTGATGTTGGCCACTTTCATGTTGAGCAACGTGTTTCGCAGTTTCACGGCAAACTGCTTCATTGTTGTCAGGTCTCTCTCGTTTGTAATTCGAGGCCATGCCATGAGCTCTCGCTCCTGTTACTCTAGGTTTGGGTCCTTCCCACCAAACCATTGATCCAGCTCCTCCATGATGGCAGTGTAGGCGCCTGGACCATCCAGCACGTCTGCAATTAAGTCTGCTGCAGAACCGCCGGCTAATGCCTCCCGAAGGTGAGCCAGCTTGTAGTCCTCAGACATGAGCGGGTTCTCATGGACCAAGTGGAGGAATCGCAGTTTCCACTTTAGGTACGACGGTCTCTGACCGTCAACTTCGGCAAGTCGAGCGGCTTCAGGGACCTGCCCAGGCAAAGCTGGTAGCACGCATCTGGCCAGTTCGTGCCGCCACTAAGTAACACATTCCCTTGCTGTTGCTGTGGTGCAGGTGCCAACTGCACAAACTCTGCTGCAGCATGGCTCAATGTACTCTTGTCAGCTGTTTGCTTGGCACTCTTCCTGACCCTTGGTGTTGGCACTGGTCTGTCATTCCTGGGCTGGGCCTGTGCAGAGGTGGCTGTGGGAGTAGGCTGGTTGCTGCCAGCAGGTGAGTTGTGGCGCAATAGGCTAGCTCTCTGCCTATGGGCTGGTCTTTGGTTCATACTACTATGTGCTGTTGTCACACGGCTAGTGCCACTGCTTGATGCTACATGTACACTCTGCCTTGTACTACTACTAGTAGCTGCCAAACAGGGCTGGACTGTCCCACTAGCACTCACACCAGTCAGACTCGGAGGTTGCGCTTGAGTGTTCTGCTGCAACACTGACCTGTCACTTGCAGGCACTCTGGAGTCAGGAGCGCGTGTGCTGAAAACACCAGAAACCGTGACTGATGTGTCTGCGTCGCTCCTGTACTGTCTGGCCCTGCTCCTCGTTGGTGGCGGGCGTTCTCGGATCTCTCCGTCGGATCGAACCCTGCTCAGGACGCTGTTTGGGGAACGGATCCGTGCCGTTGCCAATGGTCTACGACTCCGGACCCCAGGCAAACTGCCACCAAGCCCAGTCGCCTCACCGCCACTGAACTCGTCGGAGGAGGATTGCTCTCCATCCGCCGACTGAGCATGGATCTCCGCGTTGCCAGATGCAGAAACTGCAAATTCTACGTGCGGTCCCTCATACTCAGTACTAGTAGCGCCGGTCAAACTTTCGAGTTGTTCTGCTGCCCTGGCTCGCTCCACAGCTAGCCTCTTGTTGGCAAGCTCGATCTCAAGGGCCAGTTCCTGGCGTTTCAACTCCGCGATCCATTCAGCTGTTTCCAGCTCCATCTCTTGTTCTCGTCGTATGATCGCGGCCTTCCTGCAGCTCTCTAGGCTGCTGTGATCGTACTCGCTGGCCGACTGTGCGGACGTCTTCGCCTTGCGTCGGCTCTGAACAGATTCCTGGTCGGAGAGGAATCTGGACGGCCTTTGTCCAAAATTCCCTCTGGCGCTCCGTCTTGGAGCCTCTTCCGCCATCGTCCCCTACTCTGGCACGTTCACGGAATCACTACGGATCTCGCTCTTCGGATCCGGCTCGAAGGACCAGTTTATGTTCTGTCGCGCGCACACACTGGTGCAGAAGACTGTATAATTGTTCACAAGACTTGTTATTTTACCAGCCTGAGTAGCCCCGACTCTTTGACTCTTTTTGTTCCAAGCACTACTAAAGAAAACTGGTCTGAATGCATTACAGCACAGCCAAACAAAAGGTACCGCAAAAACCTTATGCCGCACGCACAAGAATACAACAACCAAAATCAGCTACACGGTGCAAAGCTGGCTCAGCGAAACTGACTCCAGCGGAACCTAAATCGGAGCTCGCTGATCAAATACATTATTACATGAGGCATCGAGGTGCAACCAAGCTGAGCGCATACATGGATAGCGATATTACCAAGAGCTAAGCCTAAGGTCAACACAGAGAACAGGCAGTATGACCGCAATGGCCTCGATCACAACTAGAGAGGACGAGAAAGCAGACCGCAACTGAACACAAGGCTTATAGGCCATTCACACGACGAGCAAACTCACTTTTATCGTACTGTTTCCAAGGATATTTTACTCGGATACGATAAACTTGGACTCACACGTGCAACTGATTTTTTTATCTTGGCCGAGGGCCTTTTGCACGCCAGGAAAAGTGTGGGTTGTTGAAAGTGCGTACTGCAAATGCAGTGCTTGAACAAAGGAAAATTCAAAATTTAACATTTCCCGGCATTTTCGGGAGGTCACTATGGATACATTGACGGTTGCAAAGTTTGCCCAGCACCGTGTGAACTGGATCACGGTTTGCCAGTGTTACCTTGGTCACACGCGTGCAAATGTTTGCACGTCATGTGAATGGCCTATTACCTGGAAAAGACGACAATTCTCATGTCTTGGGCTAATAATGGTAGCGCGTGTTTGATTCTCTTTCTCTCACTCTCACTCACTCTCTCTCTGTATGTATTTTTGCAGTGAGTTCTATTTCTCTGATGAAAACTTGCAAGGTGATTTCTACGCTCGCACTTGGGTAAGTATATAGTGCCTGCCATTCTTTCCTGTTTTAATCTGTCTATGCCTACATGTAGCTACATATATGGCGATTGGACACATACTTGACGTTGTTTTGCGTTCATGCCATTACCACTTGGTGATGGTGGTGGCGTGTTGGTCCAAATTAAGAGTTTCCGTTATTTCCCTTGTTTTAGATGGATTCTGATGGTTTCCTTGAGGCCAGCTTGCTCCTGACGTTCAGCCGGGTAGCCCTGCTCACCGACAACATTGCAGCAGTTGTAGAGGTAAGGATATGCGTTGTGGGGCATGCCATAAAGACACATGCGAGCGCAGTGCTCGTGACGACATAAGGCTCTGTTTAGATGTTGCTTTTCGCCAGGCGTCCACTCAAGATGCAAAGCCATGCACAGCTGGTGCACAGTGGCATGCTTATTTCACCACACTCGTTTAATGTGCCTGCTTTTATTCATGACTTCATAGCACATTATTCATGACTTCATAGCACATACTGCTTTCAACTCGAGCACAATATGTATGGAGCGTGGTGCTTGCCTGAATATGTACTTGTGTTGAAGTAGTAGCTAGCTGTCCATTGACACATGACGAATTATTTAGTACACCTAGACACCGACCGGTGTCAGTGCTGGGTAATGCGATTATACTCTCTGATGCCATGGACTAGCGTTGTACTGCTATACTTTAGTGGGAGTCGTGCACTGGAGCATTGCACGAGCAGTTTTTTTCTTCACTTTCTATTGGTTCGCATGCGTGGGTCGCCGCGTCCCATGATGCACTCGTTCGCTTGCTTTCTGCCTGCACAGGCTGCGGCTGCGAGTGAGTTTCTGGAGGTCCGGGGCCAGATGATCCGCCGTGCGGTCGGCTGGGAGCCGTATGTTCTTGATAAGGAAACCCGCAAAGGACAACGGAACGGCTACTGTAAGTGCGCTTGTGTTCGCTGTTCATTCACATAACATGCTAATGACCGGCAATTTCCCAATGCCAAAAGCAGTGGGAAATATAATCCTTATATAACTGTGAAATGAGATATTGAATTCGAACAATTTGGTGCTGTTGGCTAATTTTCAAATGCCGCCGATGTGTATGTGTATACACCTGCCGCACAGTCCGTACCGAACTACCGTACTTTCCTGAATATTAGTCTCACCTTCTTCTTTTGTTTACAATATGCGGAGGTTGAAGAACGGGGTGAGCCATAGTACTTTTGAAAGTGAATTTATGTGGCGGGTGCCTAAAGATGGGGATGTGACTTGTATCCCGGGAGGTGCACTAAGAGATTCCTTTGCCAGGCTAGTTTAATGGTGTATATATGTGTGCATGTTGGAGGAGTTCCCAGGAAAAAAAGGCGGTGGTTGGAGACCGAAGTTCATCTGTGTCTACTTCTATCCGATGTGATGCCACCTAGGTATTTACATGTTTATGTATTTCCTTGCTTCGTATCTTTTTTCCCCCTTTTAGCCAAGGTCATTGGTGTAGCAAGTCGAGGTGTGTCGACTGAGGCCACGCTAACCACATCGGACATGCCCGTGCAGCGTGGTAATACCACTCCCGAGGACAACGCCGGCATGGCAACGGCGGCGGCTCCACAAGCAGCAGCTGCTGGCTCTTCTGCAGTGGCAGGGTGGCCACGCAGCAGCTCCGTTGAGGTGCGCACAGAAGCTGATGCAGCACGCGCCCCGCCTTCTGGTCGTCCGCAGGCAAAGGCAAAATCCTTGGATGTAAGTTAGGTGACATTGACAAGACATCTGATTGCAGGGCTGCCACACTTGGAGCGAGAAAAATTTGACAGGGGTCCAGGGGTGTCCCCCGGTGAACTTTTTTAGGAAAATGGCTTGCTTTTGGGGCCCCAGAACAAATTTTTAACTGTCCACACACATGCAAGCACGCTTGCATTTTACAGCTACATGTACATGTACAATGACTGGCCAAACGCGACCCGGAAGCGCCGAATGCGTCCACTGGACTAAAAAGCGCTCAAAATAAAATAATCGGTTCCCTCTTTGGGAACAAAATCGGTCGGTTTGTCCGACAGGCGATGAAAAATCGGAGCAAGTGGCAGCCCTGTGATTGCTAGTTCTTGTGTGCTGTAAAACGACATTCGCGAGCAGGGTCGAATCGTGAAGGTTTGACACGCGAATATGAAATGTTGTGCATGTACTACAGTGCGCGATGATCGATCGTTTTGCAACAGACCTGTACATATGGTACGCGCGCGCACGCGCGTGTATCACTCGCTGCTTGCACTGTACATGTACATGCACTGCACTGCCTGTACATTCACAGCGCTGATCGATGTTTGTATATGCACGGTTACATCCAAAGCGCGCAGCTGTTGCGATTATTTGCAACGTAACACCACTAAGTCTTGCTAGTTGTCGTTGGAGTACGGCGACCAGAACTTGGCAGAAGAAAATAAAACGATCGATTGGAGAATGTCTCAGTGCTGTTGGAGTGTTTGGCCAGATTGCTGTTGCGTAGATTTTAATGTTGTGCTGCTCGGAGAAGTCTTCTGAATTTTATCGCAGCGAAAGTTTGTCGCGTTACAGTATATCTGGATGGTGCTTTTGTTGTCGGTGCATTGCTAAAATGGCCTTCATGCCTGGTTACTGTGTTAGGGGTCCATGCAGAGTCTGCACGCATGTCTTTGTTCTCTAGTCTAAACAAATCCCACCCGTGAACTCTTTGTGTTGTGGCTTTGCTTGGCACATACCTGTAGTCGATGTGTCGTTCATGGGGTCTTCTGAACACTTGTCCTTCGTACGCACTGTGCTACGGATTATTGTACTGACGACGCGTGCATAGCCGCGGGGGCTGATTTTACTTTGCTTGCAATAATGTACTTCCATTCGTGCCGGCATTCGAACACATGCTTGTGCCAGTAGTAGTTGTAGCTTCTTCGACCTCGGTGTATCTTGTTCTGGTGTGCTGCTGCAAACAGCACACACAGCGCTACAAGTAAGGTGGGACAACATTTAATTGCAACTCCGAGATTATTCTAAGCTCTCGCCACCTCCCTTTGGGCATCCAGCACTTTGTGTGCAGATATGACTTTACCTACTGTGTAGACGGTGCTACTAGCTGCGTTGTCACTAATGCCAGATCGCGCAGTAAAACATTTTCATTTTCTTCTACCTTCCGTTCATGCCAGGTTGGCGAGGAGCTCCAGTTCCAATTTGAGGAAGAGGTTCAAACATGCGGTTCGCAGAATGTTGCTAGCAGTGACAACGCGGAGTGGTAAGTGTGCACGTTATAGTTATCATAGTATGCAGTCAAACCTTGCTTTAATTTCAAACAACAATAACTGAAATAAAAATGTATCCGTTCCGTTGCATTGGAATTTCGGGGGAAATACGTCATGTTTGCGATCTTTGGCCTACTGGAACAGTGTTTTGCGTTATGACGCCATATTTATTGTTCAGACCTGACCATGTCCAGAAAATTTAAAGACAATATTGCGAAAGTAAATTTGTCCCCAACTTCCTTTATTCAAGCCCCCCGTTTGCCACGCAAATCTGATCATTGATGAATGTACAGAAATCATACCTGGCATGGTGGTACTTGTTTTTCAGGTATAAAAGGCAGAGCAGACCCCGGAAAAGGCAGCTAGTGTCTGTAGTGTAGGGGCCTGCATAGGATTTCCTATTCCAGTTAGAAATATGTTTGAATTCCAGGAGACAGCACTCGCATACATTCGTGTTAGGTTGACATTCATGCAGAGGGCAACTTACTAGTAACTGTTTAACATGCGGGCACAAGCTTAAAATGATACCCGCAGTGTACACTGATTTTGATCTGAGAAATTCCTTGCTATGGGAAAGTTCTAATTATCCAGTGCGTTTTATGCCATAAAGGGATGCCGCTTGTCCACCGAATGAAGAAACATCAAAAGACTCAAAGGACTCTTCAGAAGGCAACAAAAGCTCACCAAACCCGTCTTCATCTTCCCCATCATCACCATTGCCACCACCGCCTCCATCATCACCTCCGTTATCAACATTATCAAGAAATCCCTCGGCTGTTTTCGTTTGTTCTTCTGCCGTTGACTCCCTTCCTCATGAACGGAAATGCTGTGACACCCGCCCTCCACCCTGCGGGCCTCTCTGAGCATTTTTCATACCCCTAGGACAGTCCAACTTGCATGTCGCTCTCTCTCTCTTTCTCTCTCTGTCTCTCTCTCTCTCTCTCTCCCTCTCTCTCCCTCCCTCTCTCTCTCCCTCTCTCTCTCTCTCTCTCTCTGTCTCTCTCTCTCTCTCTCTGTCTCTCTCTCTCTCTCTCTCTCTCTCTCTCTCTCTCTCTCTCTCTCTCTTCTACTTTTTTTTTACTTCTCTTTTTTTTCAGTGCTTCTGTTGGCTTATCTTGCCGTGGCTGGTTCGCCTCCTTTGATTGGCTTCAGCCATGGCTTAGTACATAATAATAATAATAATTCAAAGGATCAGTCGGGAAGGGAACTGCCAGAAAAGAGAGGGAAAAAAAGAAGAAAACACGCCAGACCCACCAGGGCAGTCACTTCCCCGGTTGTCATCATCTTCATTGAGAAAAGCCATCGTCATCATCATCACCATTACCACCATCCTCCAGTAGGAGGGAATCGAAATAATACACTCAAAAAAGAAAGAAAAAAAGCTGGCTGTAGTGAAGCGCTCACATGTATACAGCGATTTTTGTTGGTCGACGAAGTGAAATGCTCACAAATTCGTTGTCAAACCCAACAAAGGACTGGACCTGCTCATGCATTATTATAATCTGTTGTTTTCAACTCGCTGGCCCTAACGGATGTCTGTTGAGTCTGTAAAATGTTTATTGGTAAAGGTGGTCTTACAGTACTTTGGAACTGCCCACACCCCTTCCCTAACCACCATCACGGACTCGAGCTCCACCATTACTTAGCATAAGATGGTAAAGTTTTAATTCCGCTGTATGTATCGCTGACTTGTGACTTTGTGGAACTGCCCACGCCCCTTCCCTCACCTCCATCATCGACTCGAGCTCCACCGTACGATGTTAAAGTTTTAATTCCGCTGTACGTATCGCTGACTTATGACTTATGTGATGAACGGAAAATACATGCTGGTTGTTTAGGTTCTCTCTGCTGCCATAGCCGACGGATGTGCTGTTTTTCTCTCCTCTGCTTTGGCTCTTCCGCCCATTTTTATTTACAAAAACATTCCTATGTTTCCTAGTTGGAGAGCTTGCACATCAATTTATACTTGAGAAAAAAAAAGAAAAGACAAAAAAGGCTGTTCAGGTTATGGGGGTGTTTGGTTGGAGCTGCACCTGTTCTGGCTTGGCCAGAACATATTCTGCTTACTCCGGCCTCGAGGCCTGAGCTGACCGAGCAGTTTCACTTTTTCACAGTGAAACCTGGCGGGACCATCGATTTTGGTCTCAAATGATTACGTGCATACGCTTTTGGGTTGGACTCGTCGTACCGTACAGAGTGACCATGGTGACCCGTACACATTTTGAAGAATGCACCAAGTTTGGCACACCTTTCACAAAAATGTGCTCTGTTTCTGGAGTACCGTTTGGTTGGCACGAGGCTGCTCCATGTGCACCAGCCGTTCGATCCTGTTCTAGATCGTACCAACCAAACACACCCTATGCCTTCCCTGATTTGAGTAGAAAATTTCGTCGATCAATAATTTCGTCCAACTCCAAAGCAAGGGAGTTTGTCCGGTTGTAAATTTCGTCCATGGATCATAAGAGTGTCTTGAAAAGCTGGACAAATCGACATTAGTCCGGCATTTAATTTAGTCCAAACGCTCCTTGGACGAAAAAAGACGAAATTAAATTCCAGGCGAATATTTCTACGTATACAGTAGCATGCAAGTGACCACACGTACAGTGGTGGCTACTGATATCCCACCCCTGGTTTTCGTGCTGGAGCGCAGCACCAATTCTAGCGGTCTCTATTCTGTAGTGTTACACAGTTAATTGGGAACTCGTGGCCTGGCATGAGTAATACATGGATGTGGCAAATGGGATTGCGGCCTTTGGCCTCTGGTTGGTGGATCTGATCTATCCTCCCCCGCTGTTTAGGAGCCGCATATGACGCCTGATCATGGGGTGGTGGCGTCCCACGGAAGCGGAAAGGTGGTTCTTGACCAGGGAGTTGTACGACTCCTTGTTCTTGACCTGCCCGGTACGCGAACCCGTCAAATTTATTTATTTATTTTATTTATTCTGTAGTGTTACAATCCGCTGGGTGTTTGCAATGTGAGCGCACCGCTGCCGGGGTCGCATTTCACCTGCCACCACTTTATGATTGATCAATTTAATTCGTGTGCGACAAGTGTACACGGGATAGTGCAGGCCAGCGACAAGAGGGACACGGGAAATCACGGAAAAAATGTGAGCATGGTAACACTCCCTGATGCCGGCACGTGTCGGGTTTGAGTGAGAGAAAAACATGCTCAATATTAGTTTTGTAGAACAAGTGATGTCATAATGAGGTGTTAACTTTGCGCTCCTGAATAGCGTGGTTGTTTTCTCTTGTTCACTAAACGGGGTGAAAAAAACCATGGGGGCTGCTGCGATATGTTCACAGCATGACACGCTTGGCTTGTTTTTGTATTGTGTGATAATGGCATGGATGTGTCTATCAGGTCTGAGGATGATGATGAGTTGCCTGACGAGGACGTCAGTATGATTGAGGTTGTAGCTCAGAAAACGCCACCAAGGCCAACGGCTGAAACCGCCCGGTTAGCTCGTTCAATTGGCCCGGTGCTGGGTGCGGAGTCACCGCAAGTCAAATACGACAAGGTCGAAGCGAAGGCCATTGACGAAGGTCTACTAACGTTGGAATCGGTATGTGCCAATGTGGTATAGCGTGTGCAGCTCTTGCCTTTGTTGTTGGGGTTACCAGTGGCTGGGACTAACTGTTTCATTCTGTATTGATTGCTGCCGTGGCTGGAAAGTGCAGTGCAATGCCTGCCTCAGTGTGTGAGTGAGTGGGGACAGTGGGTGGGTGCATGCGTGTGCGTGTGTGTGGGTGTGGGTGCATGCATGTGCGTGTGGGTGTGGGTGGGTGTGGGTGCATGCATGTGTGGGTGGGTGGGTGTGGGTGCATGCATGTGGGTGTGGGTGTGTGGGTGCATGTGTGTGGGTGGGTGGGTGGGTGGGTGCATGTGTGTGGGTGGGTGGGTGGGTGTGGGTGTTGACCAAGAGCAGCTGTTCCATGCCATTGGATGGTACGGCAGGTGTGGTCTTTACTTCAGTTGGCACTTTAGTTCTCTGTGTGCCTCGTCTTGGCTTCTCACCATTGCAGTGATGATGATTTTCTTGTACACCTAGACACCAACTGGTGTTTGTGCTGGGTAATGCGATTATACTCTCTGATGCAATGGTGAACCCCGGGTAGTCATTTGCGTTCACGTCGCCATGTTAGGTGCTTTCCGCCGCTCTGTGCTCAACTATGTCCTGCTTGTAATGCTGCTCGCTCGCTTAACGTCTCCTTATTTTCAGGGCTTGCTGAGTACGGCTGAAATAAGCCAGCGGAGAAGACGTACCGACTCTACCAGCAGTGGGCGAAGGCGTCGGAGAAACCGTGGCAGTCGCAGCAGGTCGCGCGATCCGCCCACCCATCGTTTCTTCCCCGTGCCGGACAAAGTTGTGCAGCCGTCCCCTGACAAGGTAAACTGTGCTGTTTGTGTGCTGAGTGTGTTGCGGCCCCTGTGCATGTATGTGGAAGATGGAGGGTGGTCATTGTGTGAGATATTGCTGGTTGATATGGAGTTGACACGTTTTCGGGTTGGGCAAGTGGGTACGATCACATGTAGCTACTTCAGGTAACCTACCTGTGTCTGTCTGTCCCTGCCTGATGTCTCAGCTGTTCTGCTTTCCCTGCTGTGTATGGGGGGGGGGGGGGGGGTGTGCTGCTCTCTGGCACGCATACCCACATGTATGTATTGCATCCATCGCTGTGATGATGATCATGTTGTACGCCTAGACACCGGCTGGTGTCGCTGATGGGTAATGCTATGATGGATACATGCCCGTGGGTTTGCCTGCTGTTAACGTACGTCCTGCAGGCCTGCAGCTATGCGAGAGGCAGTGGTTTGTGATGGAGCTTTACCAGCATGTGTGTATGTTTGTTTGTTGTGCAGAGACACAAAAGCAAGTATACTGACAACCCGCCAGTCGAGGCTCACGTCGGTTGGATCATGAGCTCGCGTCGCCGCGAGAACTACCAGCCGAGCACTGATTGGTCGTAAGTCTATAACGCCCTCGCAGCTGCTTTTTATAAATGCTTTCTGTTGCCTTCGGTGCTTGATCCGTGCTGTGGTGTTCTTTGTTGCGGTGTTCTGTGCGAAATGGTTGCTCTTGTTTGGAATGTTCTTTGACAGTGGCCGTAAGTCTAACGCCCTCGCAGCTGCTTTTTATAAGTGCTTGACCCGTGCTGTGGTATTATTTCCTGCGGTGTTCTGTGCGAAATGGTTGCTATTGTTTGGCATGCTCTTTGGCAGTTGTCGGTGTGTTGTGATCATATGGCGTGCCATGGACGCTTGCTATGCAGAAGGGTGACCGGAGCAGAAAAAACTGATGACCAACATATTACCACTAGCTGCCGCTGTAGCTATTGTTCGTGTTAGATGCCTGCTAAGTGTAATACATTCATTCTGCTTTCTTTTTTTTGCTTGTTTGCACCCAGTGCCAGCCCGGTCAACAGCGTCGGCAACAACAGCTTTGAAGAGTACTCCTACAGCTATGGCTCTGCTCCGCGGTCGTTCTCGCAGATGAACCATCCCTCTCACAAACTGCTCGAGGAAGGCAACTTCTGCAGACAGGGCTACGCCAGGTTCCGGGAGCACAGTCTCGAAGGTAAGAAAGAAACGTACTCCATGTACATTGATTTGGAATTCTCCGTGATCTTTATTTCGTTTTCTCTCTTTTTTACTTCCTCCACCAGTGCTGTTTTGGAATGCTTAACAGTGCCCTGTTATTGCTCTTTATGGCCACTCATCCATGTACATACTCCACTACACAATAGCCAGAATTCTGTTCTCTTCTGCCTTTGTGTCATACTATACTATATGTGCAGTTTTTTTAAAATAATAGACCATTGCCATTTGGGATAAGGGGCCATCCGTAATTATCGATCTTTTTCACGAAACGAAAAAGTTTCGTTTATGGGTGGGTGGGTAGCGACCGGTTTCGTTTTGAAAAAACATCGAAAGCGGAAAAATCAACGCTCACTGGATGTAGATCTACATTGAAGTAGATCTACAGTACGTCGCGCGGGTGCACTGATACCACTCTGTACTCAGTGCAGTGAGTTCCTTCCGTCCCCGTCCTCGGATGACTTCTCCGACGAGGACCAAGCAGTCATCATGGTCATTCACTCTGGGACCGACGACAGATAGATAAATACTTCGTTCCAGCCGCCGATGCAAGAGAATTTCAAATTACGGAGCCGGGCGCACGCCAAGTAAACTCTCACGCAAATATGGGGAGCGCCAGCCGCTGAAGACGATGTCGTCGTAATGTACCTGGAAGAATCTGATCGTGCTTATGGTGGGGAAGCCATGGAGAGTTATCCCCGTGTCGACAGTCTTCCAGAGACGGAAATTTAGGCCATCGACTTTCTACGTACTGCAAGTACCTGATTGACGGCAGCGCAGCGCGGCGTGCGTGCGACCTTACGGAGCTTTCCGACAGCGATTCTGGGGCGATGCTGCTCTCATTTGCGAACGAGGCACGACCACTGAAGTCTGTGATAGCTATGGCGTTTGTTTCCGCTCCGAAGTCGACTTGTTTTGGCAGTATCATGTCAATGTCGGAACTCTGACGATTTGCAAGTGTACAATTCCCGTGTTTAGACGTAGAGGTGCTCATTTTGTGGTAGGTGAAAATAAATGTTTCCATGGTCAAGAAGTAGTACCAGACTTCCAAGAAAACATACTTGTAACTAAATACTTACTTGCACAATCACACAAAATTAAAATGTGGCCTCACTGTGTTGTAACAGCCAATCAAGATCATTTTCTGCACAAAGTCTCAAGTCAATTAATTTTTTCGTTTCAGGGGGGTGGGTGGGGGGGGGGGGGGGGGGGGGGGGTCATAACTAAACTTTTTCGTTTCGTGAAAAAGATCGATAATTACGGATGGCCCCTAAGTCAGTTGTTTCCGGAGAAGCCAGAACACTTGGTATAATCTGCTTTTCCCCTTTGAACTCTCCCAACTTATTGAACTGCTTGGTCTTTGGATTTAGGACTTTCAAATTGGAACGACTGACATCAGAAGGATTAACTGTGCCTCATTCCAACACTCAAGGGGCGACATCATTGTAGATTCAAGAACGTTTTCTTGTAACAATCTTTGGTGGGGGATCGTCTTTGGTAACTCTGGACTGGACACTATCTGATGAGAACTATACAAGCATAGAGAAGCCGAAACGATGTGTTAGAATGACGACACAGTTAATCCTTTTCATGTTCTTATTTAGATTGTTGTCTCCTTGCCGCCTAATGGTTAGCCATACGAGCAAATTCCCCTGCAGTGTTCAGCTGGGTTTGGGCCATGTTTGGGGATATAGGTGTACAGAAGAGTGGTGTCTCTCCCAGGCTCTCAATGACATAAGTGTCCGTTATCTACAGAAAACGTACTTTACGTGTAGTTTCCTGGTGGACAGGTGCCGGTGTTCTCAACTTAGTTCATGTCCTTCTTCTTACGTGTGTGTCTGTGCGATGTACAGAGCGTAACCAGCTCGGGGTGGGCATCTCCAACGAGATGAATACACTCTTCCGCTTCTGGTCATTCTTCCTTCGAGCACGCTTCAACAGGTGAGATCCAGTGACTCTTGGTTGTAGTAGAACCCAAGTAATAACATAGAGCCAGCCGTTCGAGTTTCAGCATTCCTCTATGTAAGGAGTAGAGAATTTACAAGTATCTTTTTCTTGTATTGTGGTTGCATTTAGCACTCTCTCTCTCTTTATCTCTCTCTCTCTCTCTCTCTCTCTCTCTCTCTCTCTCTCTCTCTCAAATGTATCAATGCGGGTTAGGAGTCATATATTGAGTGGTATTGGTGTTTCTGTCGTTACAGGAAAATGTACAATGAGTTCAAGACGCTTGCCCTTGAGGATGCATCTGCCGGCTATCGGTAAGTAATGCTTGTCTTGTCCTTTCTGATCCCCAGTGTTCATACGCACATGTGTGGACTATGCTGCACGAAGCCTGCCATCATGTTATTGATACTGTCTGTTTGCAGCTTCGTAGAGCACGGCATTGCTGCTTGTACCGTTTATGTATTCGTAATATCCATTGCGGTGATGATCATTCTCAAGCCACCTAGATCTAGCTTTGTGCTGGTTCGGTGCTGGTTTAACGATTATACTCTCTGATGCAATGGCCACCCCCAAGTCCGCAAGACTTTCATCTTCTTCCCACATTGCCTATTGGGCCATGTCGTTGATATCGGCTTTGTATTGCTGTGCTGTGCTGTTCCTGTCCTGTCCTGTGCGCTGCTCAGGTACGGCTTGGAGTGCCTGTTCCGCTTCTACAGCTACGGTCTGGAGATGAAGTTCAGGAGAGACCTGTTCGCTGACTTCCAGCAAGAGGTTCAGAAGGACTTCCAAGCAGGTCTGTACTGGTTCTCTTATCCTCCTGGGACTGTTTGCTTCAAGATCAGTCGCAGCAGAGCCCGGTATTGTTGTCTTCTGATACTTATGTTGAGTCCTCTGATTCCCATTGCTCAGCAGAGCTATCTGACTCTCAATGCTTAAAAATCATATTGTACTGCTATCGTCTTTTTCCGGCTGGTTCTGATTTTCATCACTGCCACCTGAAATCTACCTTCACTTCATTCCATTAGAATTCCGTGCAGGATGGTGCTGGGAATGATTCGGCACTGAGACGGTGTGTTTAACACAGTTTGAGGGAGTGCTCGGCTCACTGCACCTGGGTAGACCTCTGCCGTGTTCTGATAAGCTTGTGTTGTGTGTTATTGGTCTCTGCAGGTCAGCTATATGGCCTGGAGAAGTTCTGGGCATTCCTCAAGTACTGGAAGGTGAGTGGTGGTGTGTATGTACAGTACCCATCTGCATTGCCAGCTCAATAGGGCTGAACAGTGAATTGTGCATTATGTCGCGTGACTTTTTGGCCTAGTTGATGCCACTATTCCGATAGGATTTGTACGGTGCAAGCGTGACTGCATCCGTGATCACCTGCACGTGTGACCGACATCTTCAAACTTGTGTGCGCCTATGTCTTTGCCGGTGGAACAGAATATCATAGCTGTACTGCCATGTGGGCATTGTGAGACTGGCCGTATGGTCTCCTGCAGTATGGTCTTGTGCTCTCTGCTTGTAAGTATTGTGCAGTGTACAGAGAAACCTGTCTAGGACAACCGCTCAAGGGACGTTCAAAATCTGGTCTCTGCTACCAGGGGGTCTCCTTATCCAGGGTCATTTGTCTGGAAATAGCATTCCTTGGTCCTGGTTGCAGTGGTCTTCTGGGACAGGTGGTCACGTTGACAGGTTTTTACTGCATGTGCATTGTTTGTGGCGGGTTTGCTTTGCTACACTTTGCACGATTGTGCTGTAAGTTAACGCGTAGGCATTATTGAGATGGTTTTCTGGATTTCTTCACTTCTCAGGGCAAGGAGCTTAACGTGGACAGTGTCTTGAAGAGCTTCCTCGGTCGCTACAGTCGTCTGGAGGATTTCAGGACGGAGAATGTAAGAGTCTGTTTGCCTGTGCGTGCTGGTGGTGGTGTTGCTGTTTTGTGAGGCTTGCTTTTGATGGACACACTGCGCTCATCGCAATGATGATCATTCTCAGACCGCCTAGACACGTTCTGTGCTGGTTTTACGATTATACTCTCTGATGCGATGCACAGTGCTGGATTTTCCCTGTACCTGGCCTGCTAACTCAACACGCTACATGTTGAATCATTCTGTCGTGTGCTGGTTTGACAGCGTCATGCGGGGAGCGCTGGTGTTATTTTTGTTTTGTGCGTTTCTCACGCTCTGTATCTGCCTTGTGTGCATGCCAGGGAGAAGATAACGCTGCACCCGCACAGCAGCATGATGCCAACGGTTCTGGTCGTATTACCCCGTCATCATCGACAACTGGCCTTTCCTTTGTGACTCCCATCGGCACCGGTGGTGCCGTTCCACTGGTTACCCCAACACCCACCAATGAAGGCCAAGCTGCCGTTGCTGCGGTTGCTGACCAGGCAGCGGGCTCTACGGCCCGTGATATCCCACCGCGCTGCAACCTTGAAGTCGTCTAGACTGCTCATCACGCTGTTGTTGGCGCAAGTGTTTTTTTTCTTTTCCCGCTGTTGTTGTCGTCTTGCGAGTCGCTAGTTAAAACTAGCGCCCTCTGTTGCTGAATTGGTTGCTGTGATGATTTGAGCACGGATTATTCTAGAGAAGTCGTTGGAAAGGAGCCAGTATTCTATTACTGGCAGCTCCTCTTCCCCGTGCTCCCTGCAATGTGCCCTTTCCTGGGTATGAATTGGCTGCAGGCAGCTTGTAGAGCTTGGTTTGTTCGATTACTTTCGGTGCAGTGTAAGGTCTGATACCTGCCTCAAGTAATTCACCTCGGTGAGTAGTGATGGCTTTTGCTTGGACGCTATGAAACGCCAGCGTCCTAATGCCTCTATGTACAGTTCATACTCCTGGTGAGGTGTGCCGTCTTGTGTCAGTTCCGTTTGCCATCTGTGTGCGACACTATTTCATGGCCATGTTCCGTACCGTCGCTACGACAACCATTGCAGTCCGGCGATTGAGGCAGTCCCGGACAGTGAGTGTGATACATGTGCATGCACTGGACGAGAACTACAGAGTGTAGACAAGCTGTTGTCACTGCTCCCATAACACGTAGTCTTGCTGATTTCCCCCCACTATGAGTAGAGTGATCCAACCCCGGTGATTTAAGAAATGTAACTTTTTAACAAAATTATGTGTCTACCAATTCTTGCAACCAAGGTCTTGGTCTTTCTCGTTTTCTTTCTTTTTCTTGATCTATAAACCACTGTATGTGTGACTGTATCCTTACGTCCTCTGGTTTTCTCCCGACCGCTTTCTGTTCTCTGGCTAAGTGTTTGCTTCTTTACCGTTGTGCAGTATTGGACTGTGTGTCCGTCCCCGTTTGCTGGTCTTGTCTGTCTTTGTTTGCGTTAGCGATTGAGGCTGTCCGTATTACGATGTCTCAAGTGCTATCGATATTGTTAACCTGCTTGCCTCTGCAAGGTGTTATACAGAGCTCCTATTTATTTCTCGTTCAGCCAGAAATTTCCTGTCACGTCTCCTTGTTGCGAGTCTTGGCTACTTTGGTTGTTGTTCTCTCATGTTTGGCAATGCACATGATATTTTGTGCTCATGTACTTTCCTCTATTGAATAGAATATCTGCTTTCTGCAATGCATGCATGCATGTCTGGTCGCAGCATTATACTCTCCCCGTTGGTTTTCCTTATTTTGAGTGGCCTCAGCATATCCGAGCCAAATTCCGATTCCATTCTTCCTAACACTAAGTAAGTAGTTTTCGTATTAGCTGGCTTTCACTGTGTGTGTGTGTGTGTGTGTGTGTGTGTGTGTGTGTGTGCGTGTGTTCATGTCTTTTTACTTTCCTTTTCACTGGCCAGGAAAAGCCACTTCAAATAGCGGTGCAGTGTAGACCGGGCTGAATAGTGGCGTCCAATTCTTCAGCCCTTGCGCAATTGCAAACTGTTGAATGATGCAATCCCAGCACAAGTTGCTATGGCTTCTGCTATAGTACCGCTATCATCGCCTCTGGCGATGGGCATCAAAATGTCAAAGGTGTGTGTGTGTTTGTGGGTGGGTGGGTGTCAGAGCGTTCAGCCTCGGTGTCAAATTCAATGCTGTGCCGGCAGTACTACCTACACCTTTGTTGTTTTTATGATGTAATGCGCAAAGCAGGGATTTTACGACTCCCTGGCGCAAAGCAGGGATTTTACAACTCCCTGGCGCAAAGCATCTCCATTGACCCCTGAGTGACATTGCATGGTGCATAAATGTTGTATGGTCAAACAAGTACAGTTACATCATGAAACCCATCACGATTCATGTACTCTTGGGGTATGATGGACAACTCACCAATATTTCGATCCTGCACAAATGAGTGGAAGGACTATCTATCTACCTCTATCGGTAGAGTGACTCTACTCTACTCTACCAGGTAGCTAAAAACGAACGCAGCCTGAGCTCCACACTCGTTGCGGGTATGGTACTTGTACCAAGAGTAGATGAAAACATTCATGTGCTCTTGCTTGTACGCAAAGAGACATTGTTCCGGTATGATTATGTAAACAAAAATTGAGGTTTTCATTTTGTGTAGCCAAGGACAGGTAAACAAAAATCATATTCCATAAAGAACAGATTGAGTAAAGAAAAGAGAAACTGCTTTTGGAAGAAAGGAAATGTGTTATAAATTCGGAACGACACTTCGATGTGGTTATCTAAAAAATAAAGGATGAGGAAAGCTATTTGAAGCGAGATTGTTCTGTGTGTTGCCGTGTGGTAATAAACCAGGAGTAGAACTCTTGGTGCTGCTTGGTGTGGGCGTTGGGGCTCGGCCCTTGTGTAAAACGGCAACGACATAATGTACAGGAGTCCCAGGACAGAACACTCAGTCACTCCCTAGCTGGAGCAAGATGCTTGGCAGACTTTGGTGACGTGCGCATGAGCTTAACACGATGACATGATGAAGCACGAAATTTCCTTTCCTTTCATCACGTTTAGCAGCTACAACAGCGCATGCGCATGCATGCTTGTAAAAGTGTGAGGTGTTATTGTGGGCAGGGAGGCCACAACGACTGGGCAGGCTGGTTTGTGGAGGCCCGCAGCAAGGAAATAATAATCCCGAGAAGAACTGTGAGCTCCGGCACACCCCGCCGATCATCACAGTCATAACACCAATGGCTGGCCGGCATTTAGGCGCTGTCACCAAAGTTACCTTTAATTAAAGTGCTTCAGGGGCTTACAAGTTAACAGTAGCATAAGTTACAAGACTGGTGATCGACCTTCAGAGTTTCAAATACCGGTAGACTCAGGGTGTATGTAGCACACAGACTGCAGGCAGTGTACCGCCACAGCCTGGGGTATGATTACATGGCTACCGGGGAGCTGGTGAGGTGAGCCATGCGGCAAGCTTGTCCACCTGCTCCTGGACTGCACGGCGGCTGGTTCCCCCGGTCGACGAGTACTGCTCCGTACTGGACGTATAGTTCCACACGGACCGGACGTCGTCTTCAAATACCTCACTGCACACACGTACACACGTACATACGTACGTACACACACCACACACACATGCGCGCACGCACACACACCACACACACACACACACACACACACACACCACACACCCGCACACGCACACACACACCTCACACACACACACACACACACACACACACACACACACACACACACACACACACACACACACACACACACACACACACACGCGCGCCCACACACACACACACACACACGTACACACACACACACACACACACACACACACACACACGCGCGCCCACACACACACACACACACACGTACACACACACACACACACAATGTACCAGAGCACAAAAACAGGAAATGATGAGAGTGGGTACGTACGCGCACATCAGGGACTTGTAGCGTCAAGAGTACATAATTGTGTGTGTACAGTCATGTGACTGCTACTGTGATGCGCTGGACCTGCTGGTACTATAGCGTGTACACTGACTGACCTGATAGTCTTTAGCTGCTCCACTGTCAAGCTGGACAGGGCAATGGCAGACTTCTCAGCCAGAGCCACGGCTGAGCCGGACAACGAGTGAGCATCACGGAACGGTACCTGTACAGCACACACACGCACGCACACACACACACACACACACGCACACACACGCACACACACACACGGCATGTACAACAAACAAACATACCGGTACCATCATGTTTTACATCTGTACATAGACAGGGGCGTCGGAAGGTATGCGACATTGGTGCGGCCATGAATGGGTGGAGGGCCCAGGGGTCCTCCTCCTCCGGGAAAATTTTAGGGAAATTGGGCCCAAGTAACCCATATTCCGTTGCTTCAAAGATCGCAAGATGAAATTATTGGTGCGGCTCTGGCCACACCTGCCGCACCGGTTCCGACGCCCCTGATAGAGCTGTACAAGATAAATCTGACTTAATGGGCACCCAGATCTTGCACATCCCTTGCTCTGGTAGTGGTGGACTATATTACGGCGGCAGATCATGAAACCCAACAGCACAGTACAATGGTAGAAGACTGAACGTCACAACACTGCATTTTGTCATTACTTACACCTTTGCGGACCAGATAGTAGGCTAGATCGGTGGCCAGCATGTCCGGACTCAGAGCCGAGGACATCTTCTCGCTGTCAACCTGTGTGTGCACACGTAGCACGGACATGGCAGGTATAAGCTACTTGGTAAGCAAGATTACTCAACGCGCATGTATGGTGCGCATATGCATGACATGCCGCCCCCCCCCCCCCACACACACACACGCAAGCCCGCACACACAGATAGCCGAAGCACAGCCCAACCGAGGCGGATAGACCATCCTCAGAAACACTTCTTACCGTCAGCGTGGCCAGCACCCCGCTAGCAATCTGCACAATGGCATGCATCGTGTCCATTCCGTCAAACAACATCTCCTTGTCCTCCTGCAAGTCCTTACAGTACGTACTCGGCAGGCCCTGTACCAACGACAGACAGAGAAGAACAACAGTAGCAGCAACGAAGACGACGACGACAACGAAGAAGATGATGACGACGACAACAACAATGACAACGACGACAACAATGACAACGACAACAACAATGACAACGACGACAGCAGCAGCAGCAGCATGTCAACATACAAGTGAGTGGCACGGACAAAACAAATCATTCAGACAAGCTGCAACGTACTCAACTGGAAAGGCAGGACACACATTGACTGTATGCTGTACTCTCCATGAGGCTGGTCCAGCTAGTAGGGGATGATCAAGTCAATGCAAGTACCAGTAGTACATGTACACCAGGACACTGCCTGACATTGGTTAACTGTCCCACACCTTCTACAGCCTTCTTCAGCATCACGTACTGCCATGGGCACCAGGAAAGCGTGCTTAGTATTCAAAGTACTTCTTATCCTAGCGTACTTCAACGTGGAGGAAATACCCCCGTACCCTGGACACTGCCCGTACCAAGCAAGTGTACGCTTTATCAGAGTACATCATGTCATGTATGTAGATCTACTAGTTGAAGTACATTGTGCGTGAGTTCATCTGTACTGCATCTACATTCTCGTGTACGACCCCATGTGGAAGTCAAGAGCAAAGCCAGCGTACCTTCAGTGTCATGAGGAACCCACAGCTCTGCAAGGACACACATACACACGTATACAGGCACATACGCATATGCATGGACATGCACAGACACACGTACGCACATACGTGCACAGAAACACACAAATCAAAGCAACTCTCATAGTTACAGTGACATGTGCCTAATCCGACCACTCATGGCACCCTAGAACATGATCACATGTACAGCTGGTTCCTCTATCCAGGTTCAAATGACTGGAAATGATGCCTTTCAGTGCTGGTAGCAGTGATCCTCTGAGACAGGTACAGTGAAACCTGTCTAAGACGACCGCTCAAGGGACCTTCAAAACGTGGTCTCAGTTACCAGGTGGTCTCCTTATCCAGGGTCATTTGACTGGAAACAGCATCCCTTGGTCCTGGTTCCAGTGGTCTTCTAGGACAGGTGGTCGCCTTATCCGAGTGGTCTCCTTGACAGGTTATACTGTACAGTGAAACCTGTCAAGGAGACCGCTCAAGGGACCTTCAAAATGTGGTCTCTGTTACCAGGTGGTCTCCTTGACAGGTTTCACTGTACTAGTACTGTAGTCTTACACTTGGTCACAGTCTGGCAAGCGACGACGATTCCCAGTTTGTGGAACCGTTGCCTGCAACAACTTGCCCAGTGATGTCCGTATACAGTCAGACCTCGCTTAACCGCACGCATCAGTTTTCCACAAATATATCCGGACAGGCGAGGGAACCGGATAACCGAACATCAGTTACATTGGATGCATCACGTATGCTGTAAATCTGTAAGCAGCTATTTTCTTCCGGATGGCGAGGGATCCAAATGAAAGAGGACCGAATAAGCGAGGTCTGACTGTACTCCCTACGGCTCAGCAACTCCTGAAGTCCATAGACAGTACATACTTCCACACACCCTGGGGTAGCTTGTATGTTGTCGTCGCTGTCGTCGTTGTCGCCGTCGTCATTGCTGCATTGCCATAGTCAGTGTACGGCACCTTCCATTCAGCAGGATACTCCCGTCTCTTCCGTTTCCCCCTTTTTAATACTACCGTAAAGTCTTGTAATGTAATAAAAGCCGCGGCTTCTATGACTTTCTTGGTGAAATTTTGCAGGCTTCTATATGAGACAGGCTTCTATACAAGACAGGTATTTCTATGTATGTCAACACTAAAACCAGGTTTATGTGTGGTTTGATGGGCCCAAAATTGCGGCTTCTATTCGAGGGCGGCTTCTATTCAAGTGCGGCTTTTATACAAGACTTTACGGTATTCAAATAGTCCCTCCTCACATTCGCTCTCTTGTAATCGGGCTTGTAACCAATTACTTGTTAGTACTTGCGACTTAAAATAAAATACTACAGCAAAGTAGAATACAATCACCATGCACAGCACCTTAGACAATACGGCTCTTGTAGAGTGAATATGCACAGCACGTTAGACAAACGGGTTCTTCTACTTCAGAGCAGAGTGATAATTCTCCTACTGGTGCTGGGTGACATACGTGTGATATCTGAGCAAGCGTTGTACAAACGCGTCATAAGTTGTTATCTTATTACTTAGGTTGCCTGCATGCATATGCGCATGCCTGTTGTTTTGTTGTCTTGTCTTGCTCTGAACGAGTGATATACAAGTCTTGAGTTTTCCCTATCTGACAAGTGTGTCTTGGTCTTGTGTAGTGCCTGGGTTGCATGTAACAATTTGGCGACGAAGACAACGTCCTGCGCGATGGAGGGAGATCGTGACCGTCTTCCACCATTCGACACGTCCGGACCCCCATCTCAAGTGGCTCTGAGGTGGACAAAATGGGTTCGAGCCTTTGACTATTATCTGACGGGAAAGGACATTACGAACAAGAAGCGTTCAAAAGCACTGCTCTTGCACTTCGCGGGTCTAGAAGTTCAGGATTTATTCGAGGACCTATCCGACCCAGATGACAGCCTTCCATCAGATCAGAGAACACAGAATGACGCCGCAGTCAACAACGGGTCGTTCTCCGTTTGAGCTACTTTGGAAGGAACATCGTCCCCGCTCACGTCTGGATCTCGTGTTCCCGGACAGCGGCAAGAAAGTCTTGGACAAACAGTGCACTGCCCATGATCGTGGTGGTGCAAATGCATACCAGTTCTATTGTGGTGATGCCGTCTGGGCAATGAATTTCAACTCCTCACCGAAGTGGATAGCTGGCACCGTGGAAGAACAGCTTGGTCCTCTAACATTCACGATTCGTCTTGTTGATAACAGAGTCTGGAAGCGTCACTCTGACCACCTGAAGAAACGCCTTCCTGCTGAGTCGGTGCAAGATGCTTCAACTGCCACGTCAGCACCACAGCTTCCATATTCCAGAGCTTTACCTTCTACCACAGCTCTACCGTCTTCAACTGCTCTACCTAGTGTTCCGCCGAATGAGTCTATGTCACTGCCTGGCTCAATTGTACATGATGAGATCCGTGAGAATGCTGATTTATCTGTTCCTGAATCTACTTCTAACCAGTCTAGTGGTTCTAGTCCTGTCGTATCTATGCGCAGTTCTTCTCGTTCTGTAAAGGCTCCTGTCCGCCTTGATCTGTAGTTCGTCTTATCAGATTATTTGCTGCCACGACACAGTCTATGTATTTCTGTTATTCTGGTCGTTTCCATCTGATGGTGGAGGGATGTGATATCTGAGCAAGCGTTGTACAAACGCGTCATAAGTTGTTATCTTATTACTTACGTTGCCTGCATGCATATGCGCATGCCTGTTGTTTTGTTGTCTTGTCTTGCTCTGAACGAGTGATATACAAGTCTTGAGTTTTCCCTATCTGACAAGTGTGTCTTGGTCTTGTGTAGTGCCTGGGTTGCATGTAACAATACGTACATGTCCGAATACACGTCCAGCCTTGCCGCGGATCAACTCCAGACTGTCGGCATTCTTCTTCTGCGGCATCAGACTGCTCCCAGTGCTGTCATCATGAGAGAAACACACACACACACACACACACACACACACACACACGCGCACACATACGCACGCACACACGCACACACATGCACATACCGACAAAAAAACACACACATAGCAGACGGTCCAAATTCGCTAGGATGAACATGAAGCAATGGATAAAATTATTAACCATGGTCTCATACGGTACATAAAATACAGGACTACTGTGTGTATGTATGTGCCTCGGACTGCCTCCGATACGGCTCTGCTTACATTAGTATTACCCAGCTTAGACAGTTCTAGAGAGACAAACAAGAAACCTGTCGGAAACACATTTCCATTAAAATGGCCAATAAAATGCAACGTTATCCTCAGTATCTGTACAGGCATAGGGCCCCAAAAAACACACGAAAAACTGCAGCGCTGTGCCCAAGAACGATTTCGCATTTGCAGCTGCAAAAAAAGACTGAAAGAGGCAGTGGGTACATCGTGCTGCAATCGGCGGTTCTGCACAGGGAAGTTGCAGCAGCACACCACTCTAGTCTCTAGTCTCGTCTCTAGTCTGTACCTGTACTGGTCGGCAATGGCCACAAAATTAAACTCTTTACTACTGAACAACAGCAGGTCCTCGGCCCACTTGCTGCAGTACAAAAAAAACACAAAACACACATACACATGGAAGAACATGCACACGCATGCATACACACGCACGCACGCACACGCACACACACACACATTTACACACACACACACACACACACATTTACACACACACACACATACACACACACACACACATACACACACACACACATATATATACACACACACACACACACAAACAAACAAACACTTTTGGCAAGGAGATTCAATCAGAAATTCAGAATGCACTATGGCTGAACTACACCAGTGTTGCAAACATACCATCCTGCAAACAGGGCAGGACTTCATCTGTCTGGTTTCCAAGGGTGTTCTCACATGCCACTTGCAATGCGTCCTGTTTAATCAGTGATGAGTTTAAATTGACGGTATCAGGATGCGTTTGGTTGGCAATGGGTGGGCGAGTGCGTTTGGTTGGCAACGGGTGGGCGAATCTACAGGTTGCCACGCAGCGATTTTAATCATGAAGGCCAGGAGCTAGCCAGGTGCACGTGTGTATGACCAAACAGGCAATGGCTGCTTTCTCACGTGGACAGACGGGGTAAACACCCTTATCACTTGTCATGGAGGTTGGACCTGCAAAGCGTTGGTTAACACAAGCATCTGGATGCCGCACTCACACAACGAGCAACCAGTTTGGGGAATAGGAGGGTTTGTCAATTACTTTGCCAGGCTCCGAGTGAGTGACAGCTTAAAGCTGTGTGAATGTGTGTGCATGGCAGCTGGGCAGGGCCCTGCTGCGGAGGCTGAGTGAGCCGTATGGAGGCAGAGTGAGCCGTATTGAGAGGCTGAGTGAGCCGTCTGCGTGTGAGAGGCTGAATGAGCCGTATGAGGAGCCTGGTAAGCAAGGTTGACTTCCCTCCGTGTATTTACAGAGTTTCGCCGGTAGACGGCATCGGTGAAGTTATTGTAGGCCGGTATGATAATGGATACGGACAGGAGAGAACTAGAACAGGAAACAGGATGATGACAATAGTGGAGTGGGTGGGTGGCTTGAGAAAGAAATCCACTGCCAATGCGGACACAGCAAGAACTGAAATCAGGAACAGCGGACTTCGGAGAACAATGAGCGCGTGAGAATTTGTTGTAGGGGTGAAACGAGTATATCGAATACTCGAGCGCTCGCTCGAAAATTTGAAACGAGCGAGTACTCGTTTTGCAAAATACTCGAAGTGTCCTATGCACAGTGTATTGTATGCATGTACATCAAGCATTTCTGTTACCCTGACTGGTACTGATGGTCCATGCAAGCGCCAAATTATTGCTTGTCCCTACTTACCAGCAAAGGACAGTAGTTCAGACGATGTCCTGCACCATGCTGCATGCAAGACTACATGTGCAGCGGGTGTACTACGTTGGGTGGTGCGAGAGTGTGTGCAGTGCATTGTTTTATGTTGTCAGTACAATACTCGTACTCGCTCGAATACTCGCTCGTTTCTTCAAAGAGTACTTGAGTCCCCAATTTTGGCACTCGTTTCACCCCTAATTTGTTGGGAACAGAGCATGCGCCTTCTGTGCTAACATATTTTTGCGCGTGCGCAAAAAATCATTTTGAAATAAGAGCATATGTATACAACTCCAACGCATGCAAGTACATTTTGGTGGTGGTGGCCACAGAGGCGGTGGTGGCGGCGACGAAGATGGTGGAAATGGCATAATGATGCACTGTACATGTACTGAGTTCAATTGCCCCTTGCACAACAATACAGTGTGGTCTCTCACCTGAGGCGTGCCATGACCAGGGATGACCACATCAGAAACTCAGCTGCAATGACAGCACCCAACAGCAGCAAACGGTGCAATGTGTGTGTGTGTGTGCGTGTGTGTGTGCGTGTGTGTGTGTGTGTGTGCGTGTGTGTGTGTGTGTGTGTGTGTGTGTGTGTGTGTGTGTGTGTGTGTGTGTTGTGTGTGTGTGTGTGTGTGTGTGTGTGTGTGTGTGTGTGTGTGTGTGTGCAGGTATATTATTGTGTGCCATAGACGCACAGCAGTGCTCGAGGCAGAGAAGAAGACAGCAGTGCTCGAGGCAGAGAAGACGGTGCTTGAGGCAGAGAAGAAGGCAGCAGAGTTCAAGCTCTTGAAGACGAAGAACTGTTTGTTTTGACAACATGTTATTCAGTTGATTCGATGTTTAATTCCTCTTTGTACTTCGATGTATTTCTGAACTGTACAACTGCTTCGCAGTACTTTCCGTTTTAGTAATAATTACGCTTCATCAATGTTCTCTTCGTTCAAGTAATTTATTTATTATTTATCTTTTGAATCTTGGTCTGTTGCGGACTGTGCACGTGTTTCTGTACATCAGTAGTATACGCTAGCGTTGTACATCTTGTATGATGACTTTGTACATGCATGCATGCAGGCATGCCAGCTTGTATTTTCGGCGGATCTTTTTGGCTTTAGAGGTGGTTAGTCATGGAGGTTTGCTTCGATTTGTAATTCATATTTTGCTCTCCCAATTTATAATGATAATCTACTCGTGTAACCAATAATGGTTGTTCAGGTTGCGCTGATGTGTGGTTGCACGGGGGTGAACGAGCTAGTTTGGTAACACTCTACACAGAGAAGACGATAGCTGGGCTGCGGATGGAACTATCAGCCACTAAGCTGGATGCACTTAACAATCTACGCAAACTGAGAGCGGGTGACAATACACCACCCGTCCAACTGGCTGATGCTGATGGAAGGATCATCCCGGACATTGGTTGGAACCTCCAGAAATTTGGTGAATACTATTCATCAATTTTCTACGATTCCAGCATGCCGTGCAAACCGGTTCATCAGCCGGCGACTGGTGTCGGGGATGATGGGCCTTTCTCAACAGAAGACGTTCGTGCAGCGATACAGAAGCAAAAAGTAGGCGGAGCAGTCGGTCAGGATGGAATTAGCAGTGAGGTGTTGCGTGCAGGTTCTGACATTCTAGCTGGTTGGCTGTCCTCATTTTTCAATGTCATTCGCCAATTACAGCACTGCCCAGCAGACATGACTACTGGAATTATTGTGCCAATATACAAAAATGGCAAACCGAAAGGAGCCCCGAAGAGTTACAGACCAGTAGTGCTATTGTCAGTGGTTCGGAAAGTCCTTACAACCATAATCACAAAGAGAATTAGCACCAATATTCAGCAATTTGTGGACGAGTCACAAGCCGGTTTCAGACCAGGTCGCTCAACGGCTGACGGGGTTTTCTGTGTGAGGTCTCTGTGTGAGAGGGCTCTGCTCGGAAATTGGAACTATTCGGCAGCATTACTCGTTTTCAGCGGTGCATTCGACACAGTGAACCGTGGCAAGGCGCTCGATCGAATGGCCGCTTCGGGTGCACCCACCTCAATGATGAAATTGCTAGTCTCCGATACGACAGCTAGGGTGAAGATTGCTGGGCAGCTCAGTGCTCCCTTCTCGACCAATATCGGCGTGGTTCAGGGAGACCCGATGTCTCCGGCCATGTTCATTGTTTACGCAGAAGGTGCGATGAGGCAGGTGAGAGCAGCCTGCACCTCCCCTTCATGCCTGCCTACTCATTTCTCACAGTATGCAGATGACACCACAATACATGACACTGATCGTGATGCTGTGGTGGCCGCTGCAGCGAAATGTGAGCCAATATTCGCCCATGATGACCTGAGACTAAATTTAACAAAAACTCAATTTGTAACTCCTTCCAAGGATGATGACGCATGGAGAAAGACGAAACTACTCGGAAGTCTCTTGGGATCTGGAAGTGACATCGAGAACCGTATCAATGCCGCTGATCGAGCGTTTGGCACTATAGCCTGGAAGAGACACACTTTATTATCTAGAATGCTTATGTTTACCACACTTATCCTTCCGGTTCTATTATACAACTGTGGTCTGTGGACCTTGACAGCAGCACTCGGAAACAGGCTCGACACGTGGCATCGACGCAAACTACGATCCATTCTTGGCGTAGTGTATCCCCAAAAAGTATCGAATAAAAACTTATACAAGCTGTCCAACCAATTGCCTATCACCAGAACATGCAGGGAACGGCGCTTGTTATGGTTCGGCCATGTAATCAGAGAAGGCAGTGACTCAACATCCTACAAAGCTCTAAGACTTTCAATCGACACCAAAGACATCAAAAAGCCCAGAGGACGCCCCGTAACCAGATGGATCGACAACATCAAGAATGTCTTAAAGACAATAAACGTTTCCATTGCCGAAGCGGAAGCTATATCTCAAGACAGGGAAGCTTGGCTCGGCATTGTGAATCAATGTACTAACTTATCGCGCTAAAAATATCTGCTCTTACTCAAATATCTTTTTGGTGAATAACATTCTGTACTTAATATTATATTCCTCATGCCTGGGCTCATGGTGGAATCGAGGTAGTTTTCCCTGCAATAACAGAATTGGGAAGGTGTGTATGTCATGTATTTCTCGTTTTCTCTAACTCTTTTTGCCGACAGATGCGTTAGCCCCATGGGTGATCTCACCCATGGGGTACATGCAAGCTGTTATTATTATTATTATTATTATTATTATTATTATTATTATTGTATTTTCAAATTTTGGACTTCACGGAGAATTTCAAAGTTTTTTAGGAAATTAGAGGCCACATGCCACGTACTGCTCTTTTCTCTCCGAAACTCAACACTTGCAAGCCAGATATGAAAGAAAGAAAAAATCATCAGTCACACCACCGGGACTCGAACACACAAACACACAAGCGTGCACACATGCACCCACGACAACACAATCACTGCCACAATAGCCAAAGAAAGCAAAGTGATGTGCGAATTAGTGGAAGCGACTTCGGCGATGATTTTTTAGTCAAGGGTTTGCTCCCCACACTGGAGCTCGCGCTTTTCCGCCGACTTGACTTGACACTTGAATAACTCATAACTGCCATCCAGAACACTCGAGAACTCATGAGTCATTCAAGTGTCAAGTCAAGTCGGCGGAAAAGCGCAAGCTCCAGTGTGGGGAGCAAACCCATTCCTAAATAATGTGGCCAGCTTTAACAACGGTGGCAGACAAGTGGCAAGGAAGGCAAGTTGAACATCATGACAAGGAAAGATCACATTCGGGCAGTGCCGACAAATGAAACTTGAACCAGCAAAAAGGGGATGACATCGAGGTGCTCAAAAGCGCAGGAGATTCGGTATTCAAGAACGTTGACGCTCACACTGAACTGGTCATGCCTATGCCATAGACACAATAACATTGTACCGGTAATCAGCCTCCCGCCTCAGCCTGCTTCCGTAAGATGTCCGCACATCCTAAAGAGAGATTACTACAGGTCACCCCTGCCCCCGTCCCCAACCCCCTCCACCGTCCCTCTCAATACACTACCCAGTCTTACCAACAAAGTCGCGGTCCCCAGTGGCATCCATACTGTTCTCAGTCACACCATTGAAACCGAGGTCTAAACAATCCAGCAAGTCACAAAAAAAGAAAAAGAAAATGCGAACAAAAAGAAAACGGGTGTCACATACATGCACATGTATCGCAAAACGGCTATTATTCGCGGGATTATTTTTAGTAATTTCCATTGCAGCTCGACTTGTGCCAACAAACTTTAGTGTAGTCACAGTCTCATTCCAAGTATGGCGATCAAACATCGACTGAATATTTTTGAGAGCGAGAGAGAGAGAGAGAGAGAGAGAGAGAGAGAGAGAGAGAGAGAGAGAGAGAGAGAGAGAGAGAGAGAGAGAGAGAGAGAGAGAGAGAGAGAGAGAGAGAGAGAGAGAGAGAGAGAGAGAGAGAGAGAGAGAGAGAGAGAGAGAGAGAGAGAGAGAGAGAGAGAAGAGAGAGAGAGATAGAGATAGAGAGAGAGAGAGAGAGAGAGAGAGAGAGAAAAGAGGAGAGAGGAAGAGAAAGACGCTATTTACCTTCAGCAAGAGCTTCCCGATCCACGCCGAAAGCATTTCCGGCAATAGCACCGCTAGCAACACAAGAAACATGCAACACCTTTAACAAATGTCCAGTCTCCGAAAGGAGAGGTCTCAAGAGAAGGTACATAACTTTTTTTATCTTTCAATATTTAATATTGAAAGATTTTTAAAAAAGAGCAGATGGATGGTGTTCAAATGTACACTGTCACAAGAACAACAATACCGCTGAACGGGGTATGCAATGTACATGTAGCACAACTGAAATCCAGCCTCATGGGTATAAGAGCTGAGTGGGCTGCGTGGCCCCTGCACTACGAGCACTAGGGCCGTGCACTGAGATGAGAGGCAGTGTGAGTCTCCTGTACGCACGGGGTTGGATTTCATTTGCCAACACTGTAGTGTGGTACCTTCCAAGGCTCATGACGTTGACACGCGCCGCTATCTCGTCAAGCTGCTCCACATAGCGTTTCATAGGCCAGGCAAAACTAGAAAAGAAAAGAGAGCACAATTCCACGTTTCATCTTTTCCATTCACAAACATTTCGGGCATTTCTATGTCCATGAGTGAACTGAGAAGGAACAGAGCGAGTCACTGTGTGCTTTGTCGATGGGAGCCATGGCATATTCCTCAATGTCTAGGTGGCAAGGACCACGTTAACAATGACAAAAGTTACCGCGGTGAATAGAGCCACCATCAAGGCTGAACGCACATGCAGCATGCACTGTACATGTACATCTATGATCTATACTGTGTTTAGCTCCACACCCACACTGCTTCCTATCTCCTTCGTTGTTGTCTAATGATTGGTTGTTGAACCATGAAACTCTCTCTCTCTGAGTTACAACAAATAGATAAGCCCATACTTAAATTTATGTACCTCGTGTGTACTGTGCTCTTCCTAACACGCGCATTGAGCTGTCTAGCAGGTTACAAGACGCACACTGCCAGTGCCTGGGCCGTACATCTATACTGCATGCTCTCCAGGCTTGTAGAAGCCATATTGTTAGTAGAGTAATCTGTTACCTACCTCAGCACCCAGTGGCTCCAGCGAACAACCTGGGCGCGCTGCACAACAGCACACCAAAACAGGCACGAGCAACAGGACGCCGCGAAATGACTTTCTCTTGAAGTTATTCGAATTCTATAGTACCATGCCGTACATGCAGCTCAGTCTCAAGCAGGGGGCTGTAAATTTACTACTACCAGTCGTCAAGTGCGTACCGACGAAAGAGAACATAACTTTCGCAAATCACTGCCGCTTTTAAAAGTTTTCGAAGTTTCGACCTTTGTTTCTGTACTCATTCCCAGATTCGAAGTTTCTTTCGAACTTTCGCGTTGCTAAACGTCCCTGATAGAAATAGTAGTGTGCTAGTGCAGTGTATGTGGAGCTCAGTTGCTCAAACCGGTACTCACAGCTTAATCGCATAGATGGTTGTTCTGTTGCGAGGCGTGCGGCGGATTATGCCGCCAGAACAATGGACAGGAGTTGGCACTTTTTCATGCACGTTTGGTAGAAGCCGCGTTTCTTTTCGAGCCAAGATGTTGCAACTCGACACAACGTACAACTACGGGCCGAGTATGGTACACTGCAAGCTACACGCACACACGTACTTGCACAGTACTTGCACAGTACATGCACAGTACTTGCACAGTACTTGCACAGTACATGCACAGTACTTGCACAGTACTTGCACAGTACTTGCACAGTACTTGCACAGTACTTGCACAGTACTTGCACAGTACATGCACAGTACATGCACAGTACTTGCACAGTACTTGCACAGTACTTGCACAGTACTTGCACAGTACTTGCACAGTACTTGCACAGTACTTGCACAGTACTTGCACAGTACTTGCACAGTACATGCACAGTACATGCACAGTACTTGCACAGTACTTGCACAGTACTTGCACAGTACATGCACAGTACTTGCACAGTACTTGCACAGTACTTGCACAGTACATGCACAGTACATGCACAGTACTTGCACAGTACTTGCACAGTACTTGCACAGTACATGCACATGGGTGACAGTGTAGACTGATCATGTTGACATACAAGCATGTTTTAGATAGAAGCATAACTAACTTGAATAGAAGCCTGGCTTGAACCCTGACTTATACGGCAGTAAGCACCTACTTGGATACGCGACATTACAGTGTGCATAGGAAACACAGTGTAAAGGATACACAACAGCAGTTCCAGCAGCAGCAGCAGCAGCACAAGCAACTCCTACACTAACCTGTAAATGCGTGTAGCCGGGCATCAGAACATCTATCTCCCTGTACACACACATACATACACATACACACAGTAATTGAGCAAACGAGTAAGTGAGTGAGCGAGCGACACACGCACACCCCTCACTCCCCCCCCCCCCCCCCCCCCCCCTTTACCCACACACATACACTGTCCCCATACCCACACACAGACACACGCACACACTATATCACTATGCTGTGGACGGCGACAGGAGAGCTTACTCTTCAGCACGCTTGCGACACACGCCGATGAATTCCACCAGGTAGCCACGCAGCTCAGCCACCCGTTGTCTAACCCACAACCTAAGTAGAAGACACAATACATGTAGAAGATACAGTACATGTAGAAGATACAGTACATGTAGAAGATACAGTACACGTAGAAGATACAGTACATGTAGAAGACACAGTATATGCAGTGGTGTGGAGATTACAGTCAGACTTCGCATAACAGCACACATCCATTTTCCACAAAAAAATATCTGGACAGGCGAGGGAGCCGGATAATCGAACAGGCACACTGTATGCATGCACGGCATATGCTGTAAATCGGTAACCAACGATTTTCTTCCGGATGGCGCGGGATCCGGATAAAAGAGGACCGGATAAGCGAGGTCTGAATGTATAGATAGGTCATGTGACGATACACATGCATGATTACAGTCCATTCATTGGAAACTGGCACCCGAACTTTTTGGTGTCTCCTGCACATAGCTGTAGATATTGTGAAAGCAACAGTACATCCTGCATTGTGTGGCCCGTGCAATTACTCCTAGCCACATTTGAGGCCAGAAAAGTCGAAGAACAGGGAAATAGAAATTCAGCCAGGTTTTACAAAATTGGGACAGGTATACCATAGCAAAATGTATGGAGCAGCAGATCCAAAACCCAGATTTTTGAGATTTAAAGTGGGTTTTTGATCCTCAATTCGGCCCTAATCGGACTTTCAAAAGCTAGCGGGACAGTTTCCGATGAATGGACTGTATGTAGTCTATGCAATAAGCACATAAAAGAGCTATGAACTTTGTCTGCAGAGCACAGCAGCTGAACAACTCGTTTGAGCTCAATACTGCAGTGGTGTGTGTCATGATCGGCACGGGCAAAGCTGTGGGAAAGGTCAATACTAGCATACGCTGAAAACGGGCGATCGGAGTGAGCGAAAATAAATGCAGATAAACTACCAGTCTCACCTCATGTCGGTGGAGACCTGCCAGCATCATCACAGCCATCAGTGAAAGCAGTGAAGGCAAACAAGATGATAGCCGGCATTGAAGAGAAGAACAGCATCAAACAGGGCTGGCATCACAAGAAATGGAATTACAATTTGCTGACTCGTCCTCGTTGCTTTTCACAACATTGGCAGAAATTGCAGTTTTAAATCATAAGCAACTTAAACCGGCTTAGCACAGGTACCTGGGATGTCAGCAGAACATGATCGTTTCAGCCACTTTCCCTCCATGTGAACATGACATGGTATTGGTCATGTAAAACAAACACCATTCAACAATCCACTGTTACTAGCGTTGGAGACAATAGCAGTGTTGCCACATCACTTTAGCCAAATATCAGTAGGATGAAAAATGCACCATCCGGGGCTTTGTCCCAGGTCCCCCATTCATAATAGCCCCAGTATACACACGCACCCATGCGACAAAAATTTCACAGTTCTGAGTGCGACTCGGACTGACTTTCCGATTCCCCCCCCCCCCCCCTCCCCCCCCCCAGAGGATGATTTCACTTAGCACCTGAGGAGGGAGCTATGGAAACACTCATAGCGACCACTGTAGCACAAAATCTGGATCCTGACTTTTAAACCAAGCAGAAGGCCAACATTGGGCATTTTCATGGCTGCTGTCAGCAGGAGAAGGTCAATTGTCGGCAGGTTGTGACATGCCTCCAAAATCGGCAGGCTACTGACATGTCGGCAGGTGTGGCAACACAGCAATAGAGAGGTTCCGCACAACGTAATTACGTTAATAAAAAAACGTAGTCGATCTACGGAAAGTCTTACGTAAACTGCATGCGCATCTGGGTTCCGTCATACGGAGTTTTCAAATCACGTAGCTGCCCTTGGCAACTCCGAACGCGGCAGTGTACGACCAGATCGACCTGGGGAGAGAGTCATAAATTTGTACCCCAATCCACTTACGGACCAGCTACGTTATCAGAGCCCTATCTACGTACTCTCCGAAGACAACTTTCCGTAAGTGGAGTGCAAACTCGCGAATTCACGGGTTTTTCCCGCCCACTAACGTAAAGTAGCTCAACTTTACGTAGTGCGGAACCTCTCTAATGTCTCTAACTGCAGCCATCAATGCCCTCCTCGCGAGAATTTGTATTGTCATGACGGGCAGGCATGATTGCACGTGCACGTGCATGTGCACGTGCACACACACACACACACACACACACACACACACACACACCATGCGGCCATACCTGATCATTTCGGCTACGACCAGTATGCAACTTCAGTGCCACCTGACCAATATACTCCTGCAGGTAGGAGCAGATCAAACTAGGTGTATAAAATCACACACACCACCACAGTACACAGGTCAACAACATAAGCCGCACCCCCACCCCCCTTTTGGGGTGAATTTTGAGTGTTCAAAGTGCAACTTATACTCCGGAAAATACGGTAGATGGTCTCTGACAGACAGGTGGTTTCTTATTGCAGTAGTCATTGAGGTCAAGACAACCGAGAGAAGAAAGCGCAGAGACGCATCTTACCCGCAGCTTCCGCTCATTGGCAGTGTGAATGTCCTCGTCCGACTGCAGTATGTCAAAGCGGTCTTGCTCCCAGTCAGCAGCAACCTGCAGCAACAGCAGCGCGCAGAGCACAGAGGTGAATGCAACGCACAGTCTTCAACTAGTGCAGATTTAGACACGTCCATATCACCTGTACATGACCATGATACTATTCATACATTTCAAATACAGAGAGATCGTGTCCTCAAAGGCTCAAGAGCACGCGCAGATGAACACAACAGCAAAAACCGACATTAGATCAGAGCTGTACTAGAAGACAGACTGTGTATGTAACTACTTGTAGCTACACCATGGGATTAACACACTGCACATGTAACTACTTGTAGCTACACCATGGGATTAACACACTGCACATGTGACTACTTGTAGCTACACCATGGGATTAACACACTGCACATGTGACTACTGTAGCTACACCATGGGATTAACACACTGCACATGTGACTACTGTAAAGCGTGAAATTTTCGCGGCGTTTTTAGTTCGAGTTTTCAGAATCCGGACAGGTTTGCGAGGTTTTAATTTTGCGATTGCAGAATGGCATTCTTGCTAAACCTGTGGCATTCTTGCTAAACCTTTCATGGATCTCCTTTTCGCGCTGTCTAAATTTCGCGATTTCCACGCGGTCGCGAATTTCGCAGAAATTAGACCATCGCAATAATTTCACGGTTTACAGTACTAAGTCTTGTAGCTACACCATTGGATTAAGACTGGGTCATTCCTCAAGATCCAAAAGACAGGCACAGATATGGACAAACGACAAAAGAAGACACACACGCACGTGGAAGCAAAACACACACACACATACACACACACGCGCGCACACACACACACACACACGCGCGCACACACACACACAGCGGGACAGCAAATGCCGACTCACGCGGTCCAGACCTGCTTGGATCTGCTCGCATTCATCAGGCGTGATGACGCCCACCTTACTGATGGCAGTAGCGTATGCTTTACTACCCTGCATCACAAACACACATGTATTAAATAAGCAAAATAACACAAAAGAACACTATTGGAAAGAAATACAACCCATCCACGGCCAACAGACACCTAGTCCTTATGACCAAAAGCTTTCTCCAGAATTCATCAGTGACTACTTCTGCTAAAGAGAGCAACAGAGAATGGAGAAGCTCGCCATACCGAAAATTAACCATGGAAGGTGTCAAGACATAAGCAAAGCATGTTGTGTGTGCTTCCCTAGCTGAAGATCATGTGGTCTTCGTAAAAAAATAAATAAACAAAAAGCGGTCATCAATGAAGAAGTGCAAGGAACTTTTAGCAGTGACTGTAGCTGTTCCGACGGCCATGGGGAAACCCCTAACTTTCCCTACCTGTATGTCCTCGCGCCACATCCTGCGATCGAAGCGAATCGACGCGTTGAACGACTCCATCAGGGCGTTGGTGCCGGCCCCACCGGACGTGAAGCGACCACCCCATAGCTTAGCGCCGCCCTGGACAGCATACATACACACAGTCGCATTGTCGGCGGAACAACATGAGCACAACGTGACAAGCCGCAACACTAGTACACACTGATTGTGCACGACTTCGGCAAAGCACAGAGATCGTGTCCCCCCGTCACACACTTCGATCCCGCTGCGCCCGGACAGAGGCGTGCTTCTGTACACGGGGACAATGATCACTGCACGCATGTCTCGTCTTCCTCTCATTCATTGTCCAGGCAGTGATGTGATATTTACGACCGGATATACCGTAAAGTACCGTTGATCCGCCCCCCCCGCGCCGTGTCGCTTCCCAGCTGGTTTTTCGGCAGGGGGCGGGAATTAGATCAAGGCTGTCAAGTGCAGTACGATGTACAACACGGCGGAAGATCAGACTTGGCATACTGGATTGCGCACATTTTCATCCTGCACTCGCACGTATTGTGTACGGCAGTACATGCGTCGGTTCAACATCGTATTTCGTTGCGTACACCAACGTCGCTTCACAGGCGAGAATTAGAGCGGGGGCGGATCAACGGTGCTTTACGGTATACCATAACCGAAAACCCTATCCTTATACGGTACGGTGCGGCGAGACGAGGCAAGTTGGTCCAACACCGTACAGCTGCTGTGGCAATGCAACCATAGCATAGTCATTGGGCCTCATGAAGCATGACCAATTTCAGACTTTTCAGTATGCATGTATGTATTTCTTTATTTTGAATTTGCAAGCACAAACCCAATGGCATAGAAGCGAATTTGAGAATGGAGTGAAAAAAGGGGTTTAGAGAGGAGAGGAGAAAGGTATCAGTGACTGCACAGTCCCTGGCAGTACGTGCATGGCATATGCTATGCGGTGAACACGGGGCTGCGGTACGGAGCTACCGTGTTCACGAGATCGGTTTCCTCTCGCTTGGAGTCGCCGCAGCTGTATGTTACGTACTGCAGTGATGTGTGAAATCCAACCCCACGGGTAACAAGGAGCGGAGTTGGGGGCACCGTCACACAGCCCGCTGGTGTCCGTAATGCCAGGGTCACACAGCCACTGGGCCGCTATATGACGTCGCATTTCATTTTCCATCGTGGTAGTAGTACCAAGAGCACATGTACCAGATTGGTATGCAACTCCGCAAAAGCGGAATTTGTCGGTACACCATTTTCGGATGAGTAATGGAAGCCACGGCTTACGACTACAGGCTTGCACTGCATTCGCACCACCTGTAATGTCGGTGTTGGCTGTACCTAGAGGGCAAAATAGCGCGAATGGCGAATTACGCTAGTCTGGTCTCATATGCCGCTACACACGTCTATGCACCAGTAGTAGGATAGCATGCAGCTTGTATTCAAAGTTGTATCCTTTTCTCATCGGTGTCTACATGGTGGTTCACACAAGCCTCTCCCTCTATCACATACTAGTAGTCATTTCGTAAGACTGTACGGTATCACATGACTTCGCATGATACGAAATACAAAAGGGGAATAATGCATTGTCCTGAATTCCACCTGTGACCTGAACTTCTCACTTCCGAAAGTTTAGTATGTGTGAAAAAGTACAGAGTGCATCGTTACCTCTCTTTCTGAGTTTTCAGCATCCATGTCCGACATCAAGAGCAGCTTCGCCAGGACTCAGAGGCGGGGGAAGAAACACAAAAAGATATTTTAATATGTGAAGATAAAAATTAGTTTGAATGCAAGTCCAGCTCGCGCCAGACACAAGCTGATCATGTCTCGATCTCATCCTGCACTCTGATCTGCAGAGACAGTGAAAGCTGGCTTGAAGGAGAAGAAAAAAGTTTGCATGACCCCGACGTGATTCGAACACGCAACCTTCTGATCTGGAGTCAGACGCGCTACCGTTGCGCCACGGAGTCCGCTGAAATCTTTCGGGATGGACGATGGATATTACCGTGACTTGCACGAGTGTTTGAGTGCACGAGTAAAGTAAGGACCAGGCTGCGGTGAACTGGATCTCGACGAAGTGTTGCCGAAAGGGGAAACACCGCTTGAGTTACTCTGCATGTGGCAAACCATCAAAAGCACACAGACGACAGTTGATTTATTTTTCCATCAGTCGCGCAGTGGTTGGCGTTCGTGCTCCCATCGCCACGCCAAGATCCAGGCGGTTCAGAACCCCGGCAGAAGTAGCCTTGGAAAGCCAACTCCACAATGGCCAGCAACAGCAGGCGGGTGCTCGTGACTGGTGGGTCTGGCTTGCTCGGTCGTCAAGTCGTGTCTGAGTTTGCTGCCCACGCGTGGACAGTCACCGGCTTGGCTTTCTCCCGGATCTCCGGTGACCTGCGCAAGGTGGATTTGAGGGATTTGGCCGCAGTGCAAGCGGTACTCGCTGATGCCAAGCCGGAGGTAGTGGTTCATGCTGCGGCCGAGCGCCGGCCCGATGTGGTGGAGAAGCAGGCCGACGCAACCGAAGCTCTGAACGTCACCGCTACGCGACAGCTAGCCAGCGAGTGTGCATCCCGGGGTATCTACCTGGTGTATATTTCCACCGACTACGTGTTTGATGGAACACAGCCACCATATCACTGTGACGCCAAGCCTAACCCATTGAACTCTTATGGAAGGTGAGCGCACCGATGCACACAACACAATGCACACAACACAATGCACACAACACAATGCACTACCCACTGTTTTTTTTAGGCTGGCAGCCCAATGGCAGCCCGCCCATTCATTGACATACCCGTTGCACTGGGATTTCAGCCGACGGGTGAATGAGACCCTTGACCTGAGAAGTGAACGACGAAAATCCCCGTTTGCACGAACTGAGTGGCCGGGCCGGGTTTCACGGCCCTGACCGTCGAATAGGCTAGGGTTGCCCGGACTCTGCGTGATAACGTGAGTTATTTACCAACTACAAATGGACCGGTTAAATTTGGAATCGGCCTCGAATGGGCACAGCGCTGTTGATTTCCTCAAAACTGTAGAGGTTATGCGATTACAGTCAACTGTGTTTATAACGACACTCGGCGGGGCATCAAAAAAGTGTCCTTATTCGCGAAGTGTCGTTATACCCGAAGTCTCATTATGTATTACAGTTGGATGGAACTTTGCTCTGGGCATGGACATTCTGTCGTTATTCGCGAATTGTCGTTATATCCGCAGTCGTTATTAGCGAAGTTGACTGTACATAATCAGTTGAGATGCTTCGGCGAAGTCGCAGACTCATGGCACAGGGCTGCACATGTGCTAGCAACTCACACTGCATGCTTAGCGCCCATACACAAAATTGCTGATTCGCGCCCGTATGCAGTCGAAACCTGTCGAGGCAGCCATTTGGATAAGGAGACCACCTGTCCCCAAAGACCACTGAAACCAGGACCAAGGGATGCTACTTCCAGCCAAAGGACCCTGGACAAGGAGACCACCTGGTAACAGAGACCACGTTTTGAATGTCAATTGAGCGGTCGTCTTAGACAAGTTTCACTGTACTTGTGTCCCCTTGAAAATCTTGATGAGATTATTCGCATAACCTCTATATACTCCGTAGCAGGCAGCAGCAGCAGCAGTAGCAGCACGCCGGGTGCAGCACACGAGCCATAATCTGCATCTTATGGGCCTGGCCGGCACTATCTAAACTTGACGAAAGATTGTGGCGGTGTACCAGTGCCATGCGTCGTGTGAAATGTTTCCGTTGCGAGTACATGTACTGGCCGTTTAGCTTAGTCCTCGACTGCCGCATTTACAATGCTGTGCGCTTCACATTTTATTCTGCTATTGCCCACCTGTGCCGACGCAAACGTATCCAGTGAAACCTGTCTAAGACGACCGCTCAAGGGACCTTCAAAATGTGGTCTCTGTTACCAGGTGGTCTCCTTATCCAGGGTCATTTGACTGGAAAAAAAGCATCCCTTGTTCCTGGTTTCAGTGATCTTCTAGGACAGGTGGTCGCTTTATCCGCGTGGTCACCTTGACAGGGTTTACTGTAACGTTACAATCATGCTGTGCAGGTCCAAGCTGGCCGGAGAGGAGGCCGTGCGAGAGACGGCCAACCTGCGCGGGTGCATATTGCGTGTGCCGGTGCTGTACGGTACGGTGGAAACTCTGGACGAGAGTGCCGTGACGGTGCTGCTGAAGACCGTTCTGTCCAAGAAAGACGGCAGCAAAGTAAGTTGCATAGAGTGCACATAGCGTCCAACGTTGTTCAATGTTGCCATCGGTGCTTCGGATGTAACATTCGTGTGTGTGTGTCCACCCAGAGTTTTAGGGATTTCCGGGGGTGCTGGCCATTGGGCGGGTCAATAGCCGATTAAGTCATCTTTCCGAGATTCCTCTTGAGTCTCTCCCCTCCTCTCCCGGGGAGACCCACGGGACCAGTTTTGGTGGTGATCAAGTACCAGTACAGGTGTGTGTGTGTGTGTATGTGTGTGTGTGTGTGTGTGTGTGTGTGTGTGTGTGTGTGTGTGTGTGTGTGTGTGTGTGTGTGCGTGCGTGCGTGCGTGCAATATCCAATGGCAGGTGAATCATGTGCAGCGGCGCTATCCCACGCATGTCAACGACGTGGCGGTGGTGTGCAGGAACCTTGCTGACCGTTCTCTAGCCGGCCCAGGCGGCAGCAGTGCTGGTGGTGAGGAGGCAGCGCCGAGTGGCAGCACGGCGACCTTGCATACCTACCATTGGGCGGGCAATGAGATGCTTACCAAGTATGACATGGCCATTGCCATGGCTGATGAGTTCGGACTGGAGACAGGTAAGACCGAAGAAGTGCTCGTATAGTCTGCAAGTCCATTGCAACTACTGCCTAGCAACCACCGCCTATATTATATGGATGCTTTTGCCTTTCTTTTCAGTGACTGGTGTAGCCCAGAGACCGCTTGGAGTGTGTTGTGAGGATGTATGGGTATAATGGATGGCTACGGTGGGGTTTTCGCATATTGAGAAAATGTACTGCCTAATGCATACTGGCCAACCCTCCCGGATTTCCCGGGAAAATTCCGGGAAATCAACACTACTCCCGGGGTCCCGGGGATTTCAAGCAAACTCCCGGAAAAGTCACAGTTTTGTCTGATCCAGGATTTTCCTTAAAACTCCATGATCGATTCGCCTCGAATGTCCCGGTTTTTTCAAAAATATGTAGGTCTACGGTGCCCATTCGCACTTCGGACTGTGGACGGCACTTTCAAGACCTGACCAGCCTAGCCTGCAAGATCTGCACTGTGACAGGCGGGCGCCGACTGATCGACCTGCACTGCAGGGTCGAACTGTGCTGTACGCAGATCTGCAGAATAAAACGTTTTTTGGCGGGAAAAGCTATTTATAGCTTGTTTTTGTGCCATCCAGGGATTCTGCATGGCTTGTCAAGGGATTTAGATTTTGGTGGTTGGTCAGTATGCTAGTGTACTGCCTAGCAACCACTCCTTTTACCGAGAGACCCACCTGTTCTAGAGACGGCCGGTCATCTTTTTTGGTCAACATTTGTTTTACTTGACAGTACAGAACCACCGCCACCGTGACCGGGATAGATGAGATTGAAACGTAAGCAAGACGAGATCAGGAAGTGAGATACGAGAACAGCTAGAATCAGGTGGGGAAAGAATAGGCATTGGATGGTGGTCGCTACAATTGCAGGCGTAGCTGTGCTGGCGAGGCTACTCCATTGACCAAGAGGTCTCAGTGTCCGGCCGTGCCGGTAACGCACCGAAAACAAAGCAGAACAAACGAAAATACAGTAACTGTAACCAGCTCGCGGTTGGTGAAGAGCCTGGAGGTTATTGAAAAGGAAAGCATGGCTTCGTGTGCACTGCGCTCTGGCTATCACACGTATCGAGCACTCTCTAGCAGGTTAAGACACACAGGCTGCCTCTGTGATTGGAATGCTTGTATGTCGGCATGTGTCTGCTGCTGCTGCTGCACAGGTCACTTGGTAGCGGACACGGCGGCGGATACCAGTGCGGTGCCGCGGCCGCACGACTGCCAGCTGGACTGCTCGGCGATCGAGGCGCTGGGCATGGGCGCTCGCACGCCTTTCCGCCGTGGAATAAGCGCGGCGCTGGCCACGTTTGTCCCGAAGTGAGCCGAATATTGACCAGTTCAACATCAGTTTTACTAGGAATGCAGTTACTCAATGATAAAAGTATGCGCTTTAGTGGACATCTAACCTCTAACAATTGTTCATTACATGGTGTCTGTGTCCAGGTTTTCTCACGTATGGGCATGTATGCTCATTAATTATACGGATCTGAATTTGGTCTAGATTTCAGTACGCATCATTACTAGAACATGCTAGGGGGAATTCCCTACATGATTCAAGACGGACACAAGCATGCATGGTGACTGGCTCAGTGCATGGTCATTGATGTGATGTTATGCATTATTTCGCGCATTACATAGTCCTGCTCAAGAATCCCGTCTCCGAGTCTGCTCCAGCAGCCGTTCTGTGATGGAACCGTCACTGGAGCGGCCTGTTGATCCACCACTAGTCTGCCTATACAGACTCGTGGGTATGTGCATTGACTGTGGATGTAGTTCACGTCACCCTGCCGCAGTGCGGCGGTATAGACCAGGGAGCCGTAAAATACCGGTATTTTACTACTCCCTGGTATAGATCATATTGGCCATACTGTGCCATTTTTCTCCGTCACTGTTGAGTTATCTTTTCCTTTTCTTTTAGTTTTTTTTGTGTGTGTAGTTTTTGCATGATGTAGACGCAGTGCAACTCATCGCGTGTGCCCCGTAATTCATTGCCGTGAGCGTGTGTCTTTCTGTCCGTGTGCGCTGTGTGACGGAAAGAGTGATGAGCGGCACGGACTACGAGTCCGGCATGACAGGCTCTGACGTGACGTGTCTTAGTCACTGTAGCCTGGGTGTAGCTCCACCGTGACGTGCACGTTAGACCAGGTAGACTGAGTCCCGTCTTTGGTGTACAGCTAGCCCGGCACTAGATCTACAGTACAGTATAGCTCTGGCCCCCGGGCACCACTGTACCAGGCCAGGGTATACCGTGCATCTTTCTTATCTAGACTAAAGTGTTAGGGCGCGTTTGGTTGGTACGAACTAGAACAGGATTCACCAGAACAGCGCGTTTGGTTGGGACTGCACCTGTTCTGGGTCGGCCAGAACATGTTCTGCTTGCTCCGGCCTCCAGGCCGGAGCAGACCGAGCAGTTTCACTTTTTCACAGTGAAACCTGGCGGGAACATCGATTTTGGTCCCAAATGATCACGTGCATACGATTTTGGGTTGGACTCGTCGTACCGTATAAAGTGACCATGGTGATCCATACACATTTTGAAGAATGCACCAAGTTTGGCACATTTTTCCACAAAAATGTGCTCTGTTTCTGGAGTACCGTTTGGTTGGCATGAGGCTGCTCCATGTGCACCAGCTGTTCGATCCTGTTCTAGATCGTACCAACCAAACGCACCCTTACTAGTTACAAAACTCGACATTTCGACGAAAATGCTCCGCTGTATAAAAAAAAAGTATGCATGACTGACTCTGCTGATCTGTAGACTGTAATACTGTTCTAATCGTCATCGATTAGTGGTCGATCGTAGGCCGGCTACAGCTAAGCCGCCCTGCTAGCTGTATCCATAGCGACCGCTTGTGATTTTCTGTGCTTTCGGAGACAGCAGAAGGAAAGAGGAGTAGAGGCTTTGCCACTGTCGGCTTTGGGAGAAAGAAGCAGGAATACTCTCTCCTGGTTTTCACAGCTTCAGTGTAGTTTGAGAAAGCATTCCGTATGTCGTCTCCGAGGTTGTTCGTTGCGCCGATCACCACCCTACTCGTTGCACTGCTGGCAGGGCACGGAGCGAGGGGCGTGGAGCTAGCGATCGGCTCAGCTAGTGCGGCAGTGGCGCTGGAATTTCGATCATTCACTGCAGATTGGTGGCGGCACAACGATCCACGTAATGGAGATCGCTGGCAATGGGCTGGTATGATGACACTGGATGTGAAGAACACGACACTGCGAAACCTTGCCAAAGGTCTGGTGCCCGCTATTTGGCGTATTGGGGGCTCGCCAGAGGATGATGTTGTGTACGTTGTCGGGAACCCGCCTGAGTGCAACAGCTCGGAAGTCATCAACAAATCCGTCAACTACCCTGGGCCCATCTGTCTGACGATGGAGCGGTGGGCCGAGATCCTGGATTTCGTCAACTACACCGGTCTGAGGCTGGCGTTCGGCCTGAACGGTCTGTACCAGCGACATAAAGCCGACCAGCACTTTAACTCGACGAATGCACGGGAGTTCCTGCGCTACACGGCGCAGAACTTCCCGAACTCGGTGTACGCCTTCGAGCTGTCCAACGAGGACAACCACGGCCAGGCGGATCCGGACAAGCTTGCGGAAGACTTCGGCACGGTTCGCGGCTTCATCAACGAGTTTTGGCCGGACGCCGGCAACCGGCCGCTACTATTCGGTCCGGACGTAGGCCAGCATCTGAAATCGTCGGAAGACACCTGGCTGGCCTCGTACATCAAAATAGCCGGTTCGTATCTGAACAGGAGCACTGTCCATACGTACTGCAACACATACGTTGGTGATCTCTGCGAACACGGTAGCGTCAGGCAGCCCGAGCTGGACAACTGCACCGTGCCGGAGCTGTCGTTCAAAGGCATCGTCAACACAAACTACCCGGGCCTGCCAGTCATGGCGGGAGAGGTCGGTCCGCACAGTCACGGAGGCCTGGACGGCTGCACAAACACGTTTGCCAACGCATTCTGGTACCTGGAGGTGCTCGGCTCGTTGGCGCAGAACGGCGTGGTGACGTTTGCGCGGTCGACGATGATCGGCGGCTGGTACGAGATGATCAACAAGACGTCGTTCGAGCCAAATCCGGACTACTTTCTGGCGCTGTTCTGGGGCCGCCTGATGGGACGTGTTCACCTGAAGACGAGCGTCGACGCGAGCACCACGGTGCGAGGGTTTGCCAGCTGCAGAGCGCTGGGCGGTGCTGCAAGCAATGCCGGTGCAGGCGCAGGTATCACAGTAGCTCTGTACAACAGCGGCAACACGACAACGGAAACCGTGACGCTGAGCGGACTGAAGTTCGACGGCTCGGGGGCCGCTGTGAGCAGCGTCGAAACGCATGTGCGCACATCTGGATCCTCTCAGTTCAGCTGGTACGCGGAGATGCTTCAGTCGTCGGGCGACTGGGCGAAGCTAGCCGTGGGCTCCGATGGTACGCCGGGAGAGTATCCCGGTGTCACCACGAGCAAGTCGGCGAGCAAGATCACCGTGGACCTGCAGCCCATGTCGTACGCGTTCGTTCACTTTCCCACTGCTGTGTGCCCTCCGGCGCCTCACCACCGACTCGGCTCATCCAAGCATGCACATCGGCGTTCACGGCACCGCCGACTCGGCTCATCCAAGCATGCACATCGGCGTTCACGGCACCGCCGACTCGGCTCATCCAAGCATGCACATTGGCGTTCACGGCGCCCTGTTCGCGTACACAAGCGCAAAAACACTCGGCCACGAGAGCAGTGGGACTTCTGACATGCGTGCACATGATATTGACACGACCGGTACTTATTACTTTAAGTGTTTTTACAGACCTGGATGGGCTGTCCGCTAGTCTAATTGTCACTGGGGATTTCTCCTATTGTATCTTTGCGCCAGACCTGTGGACGCCGCTCACAAGTACAGTGCTGGCAACTGAAATCCGACCCCTGAGCGGTGCGCTCGCGTCGCAAAGACCCAACACGGGATTGTAAAACTACGGAATAGAGACCGCTAGAATGTGAACGCATCGCCAGGGGGTCGGATTTCAGTTGCCAGCATGCACTGTAGATCATTATAAATTTTGTGCAGGGCCTCCATCTACTAACGTCTTGTACATGTACTTTGCTTGGACTAAAAGGAGTACCGTTGAAGTGATATGCATACACACAGTCAGAATGGGCAATTTAGGCTGGCGGAGAGTCCAGTTTTCAAACTGTGTGTGTGTGTGTGTGTGTGTGTGTGTGTGTGTGTGTGTGTGTGTGTGATACAGTGCTTGGACCGGGGAGCAGTATAATACAGGCAGACCTCGCTTTTAACCGCACACATCCGTTTTCCACAAAAAATATCCGTATAGGCGAGGGAACCGGATAACCGAACACCGGTTATGTTGTTGGACGCACCGCGTATGCTGTAAATCTGTAACCAGCTATTTTCTTCGGGATGACGAGGGATACGGATATAAGAGGACCGGATATTTAAGCGAGGTCTGACTGTACTGGTATTTTCAACCCCCTGGTTGGCCTATGAATCATCATGATCCTTGCAGGTCCTGTTCCAGGCAGCCCATGATTCGAAAACCCTGAACCCGCGCCAAGCATGCAGCTAGGGTCCAGCGGATAATGCCGGCATTATACGACTATCCGAGCATCAGAGCATTATGGAGCATTAGAAAGGAACAAAACGAGCATTATATGTAATTATAGGGTAATCCTGAAATAAAGATTATTATTATTATTATGTGAGGTTTGAGCGGCATAACGAGTTTCATAGTGGATAATATCGGGAAATCCCAGGTTTTTGGCAACAATCGGCTACAATCATGATCATGAGAATCTGATGTCTAGTCTGATGATTGGTTTTTGCCATGAAACTCTGAGTAACAACGAAACCAGCCCTATTTTACTCCTACACAAAAAGCGAAATTTCGACGATCGATCGTAGGCTAGAGCTAGCTAGCTGCCGATAGCTAGCCCTTCTAGCTGTATCCATAGCGACCGCTTGTGATTTTCTGTGCTTTCGAAGTTTCGGAGACAGCAGAAGGAAAGAGGAGTAGACAAAGTAATTAGTTCGGGAGAAAGAAGCAGAAAAACTCTCTAATGGTTTTCACAGCTTCAGTGTAGATTGAGAAAGCATTCCGTATGTCGTCTCCGAGGTTGTTCGTTGCGCCGATCACCACCCTACTCGTTGCACTGCTGGCAGGGCACGGAGCGAGGGGCGTGGAGCTAGCGATCGGCACAGCTAGTGCGGAAGTGGCGCTGGAATTTCGATCATTCACTGCAGATTGGTGGCGGCACAACGATCCAGGTAATGGAGATCGCTGGCAATGGGCTGGTATGATGACACTGGATGTGAAGAACACGACACTGCGAAACCTTGCCAAAGGTCTGGTGCCCGCTATTTGGCGCATTGGGGGCTCGCCAGAGGATGATGTTGTGTACGTTGTTGGGAACCCACCGGAGTGCAACAGCTCGGAAGTCATCAACAAATCCGTCAACTACCCTGGGCCCATCTGTCTGACGATGGAGCGGTGGGCCGAGATCCTGGATTTCGTCAACTACACCGGTCTGAGGCTGGCGTTCGGCCTGAACGGTCTGTACCAGCGACATAAAGCCGATCAGCACTTCAACTCGACGAACGCACGGGAGTTCCTGCGCTACACGGCGCAGAACTTCCCTTACTCGGTGTACGCCTTTGAGCTGTCCAACGAGGACAACCACGGCCAGGCGGATCCGGACAAGCTTGCGGAAGACTTCGGCACGATTCGCGACTTCATCAACGAGTTTTGGCCGGACGCCGGCAACCGGCCACTGCTATTCGGCCCGGACGTAGGCCAGCATCTGAAATCGTCGGAAGACACCTGGCTGGCCTCGTACATCAAAATAGCCGGTCCGTATCTGAACAGGAGCACTGTCCACACGTACTGCAACACATACGTGGGTGATCTCTGCGAACACGGTAGCGTCAGGCAGCCCGAGCTGGACAACTGCACCGTGCCGGAGCTGTCGTTCAAAGGCATTGTCAACACAAACTACCCGGGCCTGCCAGTCATGGCGGGAGAGGTCGGTCCGCACAGCCACGGTGGACTGGACGGCTGCACAAACACGTTTGCCAACGCATTCTGGTACCTGGAGGTGCTCGGCTCGTTGGCACAGAACGGTGTGGTGGCATTTGCGCGGTCAACGATGATCGGCGGCTGGTACGAGATGATCAACAAGACATCATTCGAGCCGAACCCGGACTACTTCCTGGCGCTGTTCTGGGGCCGCCTGATGGGACGCGTTCACCTGAAGACGAGCGTCGACGCGAGCACCGCGGTGCGAGGGTTTGCCAGCTGCAGAGCGCTGGGCGGCGCTGCAAGCAATGCTGACACAGGTATCACAGTAGCTCTGTACAATAGCGGCAACATGACAACGGAAACCGTGACGCTGAGCGGACTGAAGTTCGACGGCTCGGGGGCCGCTGTGAGCAGCGTCGAAACGCATGTGCGCACATCTGGATCCTCTCAGTTCAGCTGGTACGTGGAGATGCTTCAGTCGTCGGGCGACTGGGCGAAGCTAGCCGTGGACTCCGATGGTACGCCGGGAGAGTATCCCGGTGTCACCATGAGCAAGTCGGCGAGCAAGATCACCGTAGACTTGCAGCCCATGTCGTACGCGTTCGTTCACTTTCCCACTGCTGCGTGCCCTCTGACGCCTCGCTGACGACTCAGCTCATCCAAGCATGCACATCGGCGTTCACGGCGCCGCCGACTCGGCTCATCCAAGCATGCACATTGGCGTTCACGGCGCCCTGTTCGCGTACACAAGCGCAAAAACACTCGGCCACGAGAGCAGTGGGACTTCTGACATGCGTGCACATGATATTGACACTGCCGGTACTTATTACTTTAAGTGTTTTTAAAGATCTGGATGGGCTGTCCGCTAGTCTAATTGTCACTGGGGATTTCTCCTATTACATGTACGGCGGTCAGCCTTTGGGTCATCCTAATAAAGTCATTATTATTGCGAGGGTCCCTGGTTCGAGTCCTGGTGGTTACAGTCAATTTTTTCTTCAGACTTTTCCCGTTTGTCTCTTTCCCTCAAACCAGTTAATTATTATTATTATTATAAAAAAAGAACGAAACAGCATGCTGTCCGCAGATTGAGTATTTCGCTCCTGCTCTTGTAGCAGTTGAGCACTCTTGCGTGGGGTAGTGCCTTTGCTGTTTGCGTTATGCAGAGCTCACTGACTTGTCAGTTTGAGCACTCTGGCAAGGTACGTTCGAACCTGATTGGAAATTTTTATTTCCATTGCTATCAGGTTCGGCCTCATTTCCTCTGTGCTGCGCTGATGAGTTCAAAAAGAACGAAACAGCATGCTGTCCGCAGATTGAGTATTTCGCTCCTGCTCTTGTAGCAGTTGAGCACTCTTGCGTGGGGTAGTGCCTTTGCTGTTTGCGTTATGCAGAGCTCACTGACTTGTGAGTTTGAGCACTCTGGCAAGGTACGTTCGAACCTGATTGGAAATTTTTATTTCCATTGCTATCAGGTTCGGCCTCATTTCCTCTGTGCTGCGCTGATGAGTTCAAAAAGAACGAAACAGCATGCTGTCCGCAGATTGAGTATTTCGCTCCTGCTCTTGTAGCAGTTGAGCACTCTTGCGTGGCAGGGGCGTCACACACGGTACGACCACTACGACCATGGTCGTACCACTTTTCGTCCAGGATGGTCCACCCAATTCATCCGAAAAAGCAATAAACAAATTCAAGGATCTTCGGACTTGTACAAAACATCGCAACTGTTAGTAGTGTTACTTTCATTGCAAGGAGCATACAGACTTGATGCCTAGCACTAGCAGCTAGCTATTGCCCAAGACTCCAGGCGGCTATCCATTACGATAGGCGGTTGGAGTCACGGTTAGAGACAACCAGACGATGGATTCCTCACGGACGCATTCACTGCAAACTTGACGGAAACAGAGCTGAGCTGGCGGCGATCACTGGGTCCAGAACTAAAATTTTCCAAGATCTACCATGTTACAATGGCGATCAGTACGTCAAGAGACACTACATGTATGTCACTTGTCAGCTACAACATAATAATTATATTCTTTCCACAACGACACCTACCTAGTACCTCTGGCTCCTGACGATCTACTGCAAGCGGATTCGAAAATGCATTACACCCGCGAACGCAGCGCTTGTCAACGGAAAAGGGAAGCGCTTCATTCTCCGAAGCTGAAAAGTGTTTGGACTGCTGCTCCACGGCGGCAGAATATTCTGCAGCTGTTCACCGACACGACCCACTTCACCTATATTATAACGATTTACGATCGTTTCGTTCCCCGAGTTTTCTGGTAGCAGCAACAAGAATTTCGTCCGCGACGACAGGACGAAAGTCTCTCGCAAACTAAAGTCCTGTTGCCACGAAGACAGAGAAGATTCCGCAAGCGCTTTCTTCTGCTTCCATTGTTGTAGCTCTCCGGTCCACTGGCAGATCTTTCAATCCCACCGAACAAAAACAAAGGACCTTCTTCTCTCTCTAAAAACAACTAAAATAATTACTTCGCGACTGTCCAGGCCGGACGTGTACATAGTGTGCGCGACGCGGCAGACTTTTGCAGGACACGACATACGTTTTTGCATAGCCGCTGGCGCTAGAACGCGCAGCACGCTTGTACTTCGGATTTTGCGATTTTTTCGAGGGCAATGGCCATGAATCATTGAATGGGTTCCATTTGCCTTGCTTGGCTACCTACGATGTACAGAAAATACCAAAAATCCATGAGAAGTATGTTTTTGGAGCTGGAGTGGGGTTGTCTAATAAGTGCTAGGGGAACCCTCCTTTGCGGCTGTAGAGTGCTAAAACGTGGCCTGTTAGCCGAAAAATCCTTATTTTTTCTCCGGGGGACACCCCCGGACCCCCGGTCGTACCACTCCCAGCAACCCTGTGACGCCCCTGCGTGGGGTAGTGCCTTTGCTGTTTGCGTTATGCAGAGCTCACTGACTTGTCAGTTTGAGCACTCTGGCAAGGTACGTTCGAACCTGATTGGAAATTTTTATTTCCATTGCTATCAGGTTCGGCCTCATTTCCTCTGTGCTGCGCTGATGAGTTCAAAAAGAACGAAACAGCATGCTGTCCGCAGATTGAGTATTTCGCTCCTGCTCTTGTAGCAGTTGAGCACTCTTGCGTGGGGTAGTGCCTTTGCTGTTTGCGTTATGCAGAGCTCACTGACTTGTGAGTTTGAGCACTCTGGCAAGGTACGTTCGAACCTGATTGGAAATTTTTATTTCCATTGCTATCAGGTTCGGCCTCATTTCCTCTGTGCTGCGCTGATGAGTTCAAAAAGAACGAAACAGCATGCTGTCCGCAGATTGAGTTATTATTATTATTATATAATAATATTATGTACAATAAGGAACAAACTGTACTTGGGTTGGGCAACATTGTTTTGAGTTCTGCCCGTACAAGACTCTGAAGAAGATTTTCTCTCTCGCGAAGAAAGCCAACTGTACTTGGGTTGCCAGAGTAGACAGGAGTGCACAAGCGGTTCGCTGATTAGCAAGGGCAGTCATGATCATGATGTGACCATGTATGCAGAATTGAGAATTTCCCAGGCACAATACAAAGTGTTCAGTGACAGCAGTACCTGCACACGTATCACCACGACACACTTTACACTCACACGACACCTGCTCACCGCAGAAGCGATGATAGCGACACAACTACATCATGTGATTGAAATTTGAATGTTGGCAAGAGGGTATGTACTTTTGATGTTAGACATTGCAACTAAGTTACTTGTACGGGGACTACACCATGCCAGGGAGTCGTAAAATACCGGTATTTTACGACTCCCTGGACTACACTACATGCAGCATTCTTTCTTTCTTTTCTATTTTGACACACACATCACGTATACGTATACTCTGACATGCAGTGGCTGTTGCCTTGGTGACCACCCAGGAGAATGAGATGTAGCAGATCTACTCTGCAGCCTAAAAAAGCATAATTTATGTCCACTGCAGATTCAAAGAATGAGTAGATTCAAAGTTAAAGTTTCAAAGCGCCAGCATACAAAGAATATCAAACAAACAAAAAATAGGGTCTCTGCGTTAGAAAAATACTTCGTAGAATATAAGTACTATGCTCTGACAATACAATAGCTTGCAGTCAAACATGCGTTCAACGCAGACGCTGCGAGTAGGAAAGTAAATATGCGTACACCGTAGTCGGGCGGGCAAGAACGCCAGCCGAGGTGCTAGTACAGAGCAGCAGCAGCAGCAGCCAAAGAGAAGACAGACATGGTGACTAGAAAAGTGGGCACACAGAGAGCGGCCTCTAGCAGTAGGAGAATAGGAAAAAAGAGAAAAAACTGGTAGGTAAGTAAATAGAAAAGTCCATAGAAGGCAGGACAGCCTAGCGTTAAAAGAGAGCAAGAATATGAACTCTGACACAGCAAGTCTTGCTTCTAAATATCTTCTGACGAAAAACGACACTGAAAGTCAACAGACCAGCCATACGGAACACACGGTCACTCTGGCTTAAACTAAGCAGGACCGGTACGAAAGGCAAGAAAGAAAACACGGCAACGAAGTACATACTAGGCAGGGCAAAACACATGGAACAAACACGTTGCATACTCCGAGAGACAGAGATGCTAGGAAATCTCATTGAAGCAAGCTTCATTCGTTGGGTAGTCCAGTCCGAGGCGGCTTCTTTGCTACCGCCGATTGCTGGGAAAGGCTGTGTTGGGACAATGCATGTCCTGAACATATCAGCATCAGCAACATTACAAGTTCACGTTCATCATAATTATTATTTCATTCAATAGTGTTGGAGAGATCAGGCAGCACTGCGTTCACTATCTGTATTGATCTTGAGGCAATGCCTTGCATGTTGGCATCGGAGAGATCAGGCAGCACTGCGTTCACTATCTGTATTGACCTTGAAAGGCAATGCCTTACTTGTTGAATTTCTGGTACAGGAGAAGAGACAGCAGGCCAACGCAGGTGACGGTGCTGCCAGCAGCATACAACCGAAGCCAACCAGACGACGACGATGACGGCGGCGCTGCAGGCACTGGCGTTGCCGTCGATAACGTGGACGACGCGGACGACTTGCAGGACGATTGGCCGCTGCCCGCATTGTTGCCGACGGCAACCATGCGCTCGGCGCGGCTCGACCGGGCCGTGGACATCGAGGAGGGCGCGGTGATGCCGTGCCGCTCCAGCACCTCCGGGTCCAGGTCGCTCAGTGCGGGGCGCATGGGCTCGCTGGTGCTGCGCGGCCCGAACGAGGCCATCGACGAGCGGCGGGGCATGCGGCGGATGGACGGTGAATCGTCGCCATTGTATTGGCTTGCCGACATGATCGGGCAGCCGGTGGAGACGCGCCCGCCAGTGGCCCTGCCGGCTAGCAGCTCCGTCGTCGTCTGGCTACGACGCAACATTGGCTGCAGAGGAACACGAACAGTCAAACGCGGGGGCACACGGATAAACGGAAACACCAAAGGAGAATTGTCTTGAGGGTCCCTGGCTCGCGTTTTTTCAGGCAGGTACCGTAGTGTGCATACTCTGGTTCTGATGTACAGTGTCGCTCGATGAAGTCCGATCTCATGAATGAGTTAGTACCATGCACCGGTGCACAGCTCAGTGTTTGCAGGTCTGGGACTGCATAGTGCCCGGCGCGACCCCATTTCAGTCGATCGGATTTCATTGAGCAGCACAGTAAGTTAAACGCGATTGTGACCGCTGGGAGAGAGAGAGCGAGAGAGATAGAGAGAGCGAGAGGTGGGGGACAGAAAATAGAGATAGCGAGAGAGAGAGAGAGAGAGAGGGCAGAAGGGCGTAGAAGTGACAGAGCATTGCATCACGCGTTCGCACATCACTTACACTTATGCCGCCGTCCGCAACGGTGTCTGCTGCTTCATTCAGGGCCTCCCGCGACGGTGCACTGTGCACGGAGCTCTTGCGCAGGCGCGGCAGGGCAGCAGCAGAAGGTTCGGTACCATCGCCGACCCGCGAGAGCCTGATGTTGTTGCGGTCGGTGAGGCTGTTCTTCGGCGTGGGGTCCTTGCTGTTGTACGGCGACAAGGGAAGGCTATTAAGTTTCTCACTCTCCGCCATGGCGTCCAGGAAGGTGCTGACCTCGCGTGCCTCGTTCAGCGTAACCTCGGTGGGTTCGCGGGACGCGTGTCCGTTCAGGAACCAGCAGTGCATATTGTCGGCGCGGCCCTTGAACGCCACGTCGCCGCGATCCTCCAAGATGTACTTGCTCGTGTCCAGGTTCCTACGCACGCAGACGGAAGCAAGCAAGATGAAAGACGACAGCAAGATTGGCAGCAGCAGGGCCAGTGAAATACAGGGAAATCTGGCTAAGGCGACCGCTCAAGGGATTTTCAAAACGTGGGTCTCTGTAACCAGGTGGTCTCCTTATCCAGGGTCATTTGACTGGGAATGGCTGGTTTCAGTGGTCTTCCAGGACAGGTGGTCGCCTTGACAAGTTTTACTGCAAGCAGTACAAGAATGAGTACGAAAGTACAGAGCAGCTCAATGGAATCCGATCAAGCCAGTGAATATTGCCTCGTCGGGCGCCATGCAGGCCTAGACCTGCGAGCACCGGGATGTGAACTGGTGCAGGGCGCAACCTTGATTCGCGCGATCGGGTTTCATTGAGCAGCATTGTTGTACATGACTTATTGGAGTATGCATCCCCATCATTAAAAAGTTCAAAAACACAATAGCATTCTCCAGCCCGTCCCAAAATCAGCGGCAAAGGACAACCTTCACCGCATTGATACGGTATTGGTTAACTTAACCAAGCCATACGTTGCACTGGTTCCCCTTTCCTCTCTTCCTCATCTTTCCTTCCACATGCGAGCCCCTCCATAGGCTCCCGCAGCCTTTGTTCTATCCTTCAATAAAAACCAATCAATGGACTCGGATGGAGAGCCAAGGATAAATTTATAGTAAAGCGCATGAGCTGATTGTTTAGTAACTGGCGGTGTTAGTGAACATTATAGCGTAACTTGTAGTTTCTTGGTCCTTTTTTCTTTACTATAAAAATCAATCAATCAATGAATCTTACTCATAGGCATCGTTGCTCAGGTTGATGCGACCAGCGATGCCATTGGATTCGGTGCGGCTGGCGATGTTGACGCAGTCGCCGAACAGGCAATAGCGCGGTGTCTTGGTACCCACCACACCCGCCATCACCTCGCCTGAGTGGAAGCCAATGCGGATCTAGAGCAGCAAGTACACCACACACACACAAGCAAGTGAGAGGACTTCAAATGGCATAACTGATAAAGCCGAAATCAGGCTGTGTACATGTACTTGCTGGTTACCCTGAGCACGGAACCTGAATGTGCTATTTCATGCTTAGTATAATAGAATACTCTTACTGTAAGGTAGAATGGCACTCAACCACAGTGCATTGCACACTCCATTCTACCATGTACTTGGTGGCATGCGCATACTCACACGTACAAACTGTACTGCACTGCAATGCACTGCACTGCACTGTACTGTACTGTACTGTACTGCACTGTACTGCACTGCACTGCACTGCACTGCACTGCACTGTACTGCAATTTTTTTTTTTTTTTTACAGTAGTGTCGACACTGCATTTATTCGCACAGCAGAAAAGCAACCAACAGAAAATCACGGAATCATAGCAAACAAAACAAGATCATCGGATAATAAAAGTGTGGCTAGACACGGCTACTCCGCAAGAGTCTCAGTCACGCAACTGACAGTCGTTGACTGCCAGCACAACAGGAGTGCACTGCACTGCACTGTACTGTACTGCACTGTACTGCACTGCACTGCACTGCACTGCACTGTACTGCACTGCACTGTACTGTACTGTACTGCACTGCACTGCACTGCACTGTACTGCACTGCACTGTACTGCACTGCACTGCACTGCACTGCACTGCACTGTACTGTACTGCACTGTACTGCACTGCACTGTACTGTACTGCACTGCACTGCACTGTACTGCACTGCACTGTCGGGGCTCACCACGACCATACAAAGCGTCAATAACGGTCATTTGGATTTGACCAATCAGCGCACGGCAAAACGGGCCGTTTCTTGCAATTGTGGGGTGTTTTCTGAGCTTAACTTGGCTGTACTCGTTGGTATTAGACATTAGGCCATTGTGGATTCGTGTTCAGAAGGCGTGTCTTTGGAGGGTTACCGTCTCGAATTTTTCGATTTGGCCTTCGTTTGCCTGAGATCGGATGGTGAAATCACTCAAACTTGAAGACGTGCGAACAAGTGAATGAAGACAAAATATAAAAATCGGAGACGGTAAACCGATAGAGAATTCCAAGACCTTGAAAATGAGCTATCGACGGTGAGAATCGGCCAAGTAGAACCGCTGACGCACTTTTTTGAAGACATCAAGGTCGGCCGCGCGCACCAACAAAACCAGGCAGCCGTGCGCATATCTGCAAGTGCAACAAGAAAGGACCGAGGAGACAGCAAGGGTTCCAAGTGAAGAGTTTACCTTCGTGTTGACTCAAGCTAAGGACTCAGGCCAGTCAGGGATCATACCAGTCACTTGTCATCATGGTCATGACTAAGGAATTCAATAGTGGCCAGGAAACTCCACACTCGCAGGGTGAAAACAGCGAGGTCAAACAGAAAAGAGTTTGCCGAGCCGTGATCAGGAAACGCTGAGTTCTACTGACAACATTGGTTAGCTAGGAGCGGCAAAATCGTGTAGATGCCAGGACTCCAGTATCTCACGGACATATCTTGGTAGGCATGCACCAGTGGATGGAGAAAAATGACCAAGATGGCTCGGAAAGGACGTCTTCTCCTCGTGTCTTTCCCGGCATCAAACAACAAGATTCTCTTCGGCACTGGCCCTTCGCTGCACAGACAGGACCAGGGAGTCGTAAAATACTGGTATTTTACAACTCTACTGTACATCCCTGTACATTGATCACCACGAACTCGGGTGCGTAGCCGCTATGACTGCACCAACGCTGGCCTGCGCGGCAATCGCCATGGTTCAAAATGGTGGTCGACGCTTTTTGAATTTTGTATGGTCGTGGTGAGCCCTGACTGTACTGCACTGTACTGTACTGTACTGCACTGTACTGTACTGTACTGTACTGCACTGCACTGTACTGCACTGTACTGCACTGCACTGCACTGCACTGCACTGCACTGCACTGCACTGTACTGCAATGCACTGCACTGTACTGTACTTGCTCACTGCCAACATTGGTCACGTGGGTCTCCCCGGGAGAGAGGAGAGAGCAACTCAAAAGGAATCTTGGAAAGAGGACTCAATTGGCTATTGAACCGCCCAACGGCCGACACCCCCCTGAAATCCCCAAACTATGGGTGGACTTGCAAATGATCCCACTTACGGGCTCACCATACCTCAGTAAGTGGGTGAGGACGAGGTGCAGAAAAAGGATTGACGGCATCAGGGTATCCGTCCTGGGATCCAACTGCAGTTGCCCCTGCCCCCCAGTGAGGGAAATGCTGTGGCTACACACACACACCGGCCGTGCGCTGCTTACCTCGATCGGCTGGTCCGGCTTGTCTGGGCGCATGACCTTGCTGCAAGCGTGGCGCATGTCCATGGCAAAGTTGGCAATGCGTGACGCGTGATCATCACATTTCTCCGGCAAACCACCAACCACCATATAGGCGTCTCCGATCGTCTCAACCTAGGCAACAGAGAAAAGGCCATGTGGAAAAACCAATAACAACCAATGTACATAGAGAAGCACTTTTCAATCTGCGGGCAGAACTGTTTCGTCCTTTGTGGAATCATCAGCGCAGCACAGAGAAAATGGGGCCGAACCCGGTAGCAATGGAAAATAAACTAAAATAATAAATTTTCCAAAGCCATATTTAAACCAGGCCCGAACGTACCTTGCCAGAGTGCTCAAACTGACAAGTCAGGGAGCTCTGCATAATGCAAACAGCAAAGGCACTACCCCACACGAGAGTGCTCAACTGCTACAAGAGCAGAAGCACTTCAATGTTTCGCTTCACATCAGAACGTCAGTACCGTCGGCCGGTGTCGTGCAGCGTTATCGCATGAGCTGATCATCAAGTAACTGGTGGTGTTAGTGGACAGTATAGCGTAACTTGTAGTTCTTTAGTACTTTTCCTTGCTATAAATTAATCCTTGGCTCTCCATCCGAGTCTATCATTTCAGATGGGGAAAACCCAAGTGTAACTGAGTCTCAAGAGAACCGTGAATTATTCATTATTTATGTTAGGCTACTGTAAGTCACAAATTTTCGGCCCATTCAGAGTTCAGCCTCCCAGGGCTAAATGCCTAAGGCCACACCGTTTAAAAAAAAATGTTTCGCGTCACCTTATTCGATGAAATCAATGAGGGAGGGCGAAAAAAAATAAAAAAAGCCATCCAAAAGAAAACAGTGTACGTGCATTGCATTTGTGGACAATGGAGCTAAAAAAAGACCCGGCACTGAGTCGGTTCATGTATATTCATTCACACATGCATACACGAATACATGAGTGTAATTTCAATACAATGAATGTCGCAAAGACTAAGTTTATTGCACAATGCAATCTCTACTGATTGGTAACAACTGGCCAAACTCTGTCAGCATTATCAGCATGCTTGTGGTCCAAACACAGGTGGCATGATGATTGCGTGACTTGCGGCCCAGCTTACACACACAGCTACATGTGAGCTAAGTACAATCATGCGACAAATTGAACAAATGATGCCAAATACACGCGCGCGGGGGACACGAAACATAGATAAAAAACGGTGTGGCCTAGAACACATTTCGGCTGCAACAAATTTTCGGCCTGTACTGCTGCAACCTTGCAAAACAAAATTTCGGCAGCAACAAATTTTTCGGCCAAATATGATTAGGCCGAAAATAGCCGAAAATAAAATATGCGCCGAATATTTGTTGCAGTATCATATCCTTATTTGACTTGACAGATGATAACGGCGATATGGCCATGCAATGCACATACACGAGTCATCTAGCTCACCTTGTACACGTCATTGACAGTTGTGAGATAGTCGAAGAGCGTGTAGAGCTCGTTGAGCATGCCGATGACCTCGATCGGGCTGCTCTGGCCGCATATGCTGGTGAAGCCGCAGATATCGCTGAAGAGAATCGTCACCGCGCCATACACTTCTGGTACGACCTGCCAAAAAGAAAAGATCACCAACACTCAGCATACACAAAAAAAGAGAGGAAATTATCGTGTCCGATCCCGATGGGAATTCAGCATACACCGGTTGGTCTATAAATCACACTTCTTGCTGATGGCTGCAGTAAAAACTGTATACACAAAACACTACAATAAGACCTGTCAAGGCGACCACTCGGATAAGGAAACCACCTGTTCCAGAGGACCACTACAACCAGGACCAAGGGGTGTTGTATCCAGCCAAATGATCCAGGATAAGAAGACCGCCTACACGACTACATTTTGAAGGCCCCCTGAGCGGTCGCCTTAGACAGGTTTCGCTGTATTCTCCAACTTTAGGGCTCACAGTTGCGTACATTCAACATCAGCGCCATTTTGTTCCACGAGGTGCTGGCGTGATCAGTGAAAACCGTGTTTCAGCCAATCACCGGGCTTGGAATTTTGAATATTTTTTTAATCTTCTATCGATTCGTTCTAAAGATCGACTTGCCGGAGAGCCATGACATTTTCAGGGAGGATTCCTTGGCTGAAGGACTACAGGATTACCGAACGATTTTTTCAAATCCGTGCTCTGAGACCCACGAACGGGATTTTGTGGATTTTCGTCCCTCGATGGGACAAACATCTGTGGGAATCGATGACACAAGCTCCGTGAAAACCAAAAATATGGCTCGGTAATCCTCTGGCCAGGTCCCTCAAGAAAATTTTGAGCCATAGATCGTCAAAATCGGAGCAACCATTGTGCAGTTCTTACATTTTGAAGCGCGCAAGGTCAAGAAGAAGACCGTGCGCAAGCTGACATGACAGAAAACGGCAACTCAAGAAAAAAATAATGATGATGCGCAACCTTGTCACGCATACCATGTACCACCACAGATTTCCTGTACCTTGCGTGCGGAAAACATCGCTTTGCATTCCAGAAAAGCTCACTTACCTAAAATACGTGTTGGTCATCTCGCAAGGCGATCAGCGCCGTGTTCGAGTGATTTGTTTTGTGCGCTCATGTTGTTCTTCATGGAATCAGCTCTGCAAACGTTCCCGGAAACGACCTTGCAACTACTTCCTGATCGTGGATGGACGGCTTGTTCGTGGCCTGGTTGCCTAGGGTCGTGAGAAGCGCCGCAGATCTTTGCTCGAACTACAAAGATTACGCGACGGCGTGCACAACTCTTCACTCACCTGCCGTTTCCTTCACTGCGCAGTGGAACGAACTCCTTTCCTTAGGGCCTTCCAAATCCATGGTCAGGTGTGGGTAGAGCCGAGTGTGAGCTGGTTATTGTGGAGTATCGTCGTGGCAGACTAGTACTCTTCATCAATTTCTTCCCGGGCATTAGTGACCCGAAGCGCTTGTAGGCTTGCGATATTTTTGGGTAGTTCGTCCCTCACTTCACCTTAGCCACAGCTCAGTACCAAGGGTAAGTCACGGAGAACTACCATTGTAATGTTCGATGTCCATCTCCCAAACTACAGACAAGATCAAGGCCTCCCAAGCTTCTCCATATGCCATCTTCTAGCTACTTGTCGGAAATTTTGTTTGCCGACAGAGCAAGAAAACAGCAGCTCCATCATGCTGCAGCCTGCACATCAGAGACTACACGCCAGCACAGAACTGCATACAGCTCCGCACGCGAAAGGATCACGTGAACTTGAGTGCCCCAAATCAAAATGGCGCTGATGTCCACTGGCTATCAGCATACGTACTGTGAGCCCTAAACTTCACATGCTCCTACCTCTCGCTTGCTCAGGATTTGCTTGGCAACCGACTTGGGCAGGATGGAGTGCAACAAGGCGTCCGTACGGCACTTCTCCACCGTCAGTGCGTTCTTGCTGCTCAGCAGTTCATCAGTGGTCTCCTCCAGCTTCTGGAACATGTTTAAGTGAGCCTGTGGCGGTGGCAGGAAACAGAACAAAGGCACGCGAACATAAACACCCACACATCAACATTAGTTGGTCAGACGCTCAATCAAACGCCTCATAACCAGGGAAAACACTACCGTATTTCCCCGTAAGTTAGTTCTCCCCAATGACTTAGTACCCCCCTATAAAAAATACACTTTCCACTGCCGAGGTTATCACCCCGAAAGACAGCCCCCCCCCCCCCCCCCCGAAAGATAGTAAGTTCGTACCCGTCCTACATGTACAGCCACCGTACAGTACATCCATCATATGCACGGACACTAGAGTTGCACAGGCTTCCCACTGCGTGTCATTTACCCCCGATAAAAAAGTACCCCCCGAAAGATAGTACCACCCCCGAAAAGTAGTACTCATGTGGCTGCTAAGTTCGAAAGTTAGTACGTACTAACTTACGGGGAAATACGGTAAATACATGCACAGCAAGCAGTACTCATGGTGAAAGCAAATTCAATTACCCTCGGTGGGCCATTCACACACACACAACCACACCCACACAGTAACACACCCACACACACACACATCCGGCACTCGATGGGCCATTCGCACACACACACACATGGCACTCGGTGGGACATTCACCCACCCACAACCACACCCACACAGTGACACACACACACACACACACACACACACACACACACACACACACACACACACACATCCGGCACTCGATGGGCCATTCGCACACATACACACATGGCACTCGGTGGGCCATTCACACCCACACAACCACACCCACACAGTGACACACAGTGACACACAGTGACACACACACACACACACACTCGATGGGCCATTCGCACACACACACACACTCATGGCACTCGGTGGGACATTCACACACACACACACACACACACACACACACACACACACACACACACACACACACACACACACACACACGTCACGCTCGAACGGACAAAGAGCGGCGCCCACCACCGCCATCACTTACGTGCGAAGCCTCGGCCGTCATCACAATCTCTCGCGTCGCGTCATGCATTGGAATATCACTCAAGTACAGTCCTTGCTCCTCCAGCTCCTTGAGGCGGTGAACACGCGGTGAGCAGACGTATATTATACAATCTATATGCGGCAGGTACATCATTTGTCCCTGACAGTGGAAAGCAAACAAAAACAAAACAAAACGCGCACAAAAGGAATGATGGCAACAAAATGGACACGCTTTCAAATCAACAAGAGCAGAAGGAAAAAAGGACAAGAGGAACGAGAACAAGAAACGCTGGCATGAAGTGACTTTGAGAAACTTGAACAAAACCATGTATTAGCTTTAAAAATCACAGGAATGTACGCACGCGCGCGCGCACACACACACACAGACACAGACACATGCGCGTACATGCACTCAGTCTCACACCACCTTCATACCTTGAATTTGGGAGCAACGAAATCGGTCTTAGAGTTACGCATCTTCATGACGAAGACGGTGTGGAGGTGCTGCAGAATGTTGGAAAAGGCCAGAGTTGTGTGAGGCCTTTCCAGAATCAGCACAGACTGCAGGGATAGCTTGCTTTCGCTATCCAAACACTTCGGCAGCAAGCGTGCAAATGAATGCCCACACTGCTTGATTACTAGGTCCCGGTCGAAGAGGATATGAAACGGGAACAACTGACAGAAAGCCTCCTTCGACATGAAGTCATCCCTCTCCTGCAAAGACATAAAAAGAAAATAAATGGAGTAGCAGTGTTCAGTTTTCCGCCCGCACAATCATGTGCATGGTGGCAGATATAGGAACAAAGTGTGTGTGTGAGAGGGGGGGGGGGGGGGGGGGGGGGCAGGAAGAAAATCTCATAATATCACACTTACGGATACAGGTCCAGCGGATGAGCTCAGAGAAGATGCAGGAGCAAGCGCAGATTGCTCCTGCCAAAGGCGAGCGGAATCAGCTTCTTGCGGTATTATGGAGAAGATAGCATGGAACCGTGCTGGGTTGTTCTGGGAAGTCTCCACGATTTCTATATCAACCTTGAATGAAAACACAGCAAAATATACACAGAGAGAGAGAGAGAGAGAGAGAGAGAGAGAGAGAGAGAGAGAGAGAGAGAGAGAGAGAGAGAGAGAGAGAGAGTGAGTGAGTCAGAGAGTGAGTCAGAGAGTGAGTGAGAGTCAGAGAGAGCGAGAGAGAGCGAGAGCGAGAGCGAGAGCGAGAGAGAGAGAGAGAGAGAGAGAGAGAGAGAGAGAGAGGGAGAGAGAGGGAGAGAGAGGGAGAGAGAGAGAGAGAGAGAGAGAGAGAGAGAAAGAGAGAGAGAACACAGACCACCATCACCAACACAATCCATGCCAAAAAAAGGCGGCATATCAATCAGGAAAAAGGCGAAGTGTTCCCACTAGCTGCACCAAACGGCACTCAAGCAAAGCAGAGAAAGAATAATAGTTTCACCTCATCCAGCCGCATTTGAGCCCAGAGAAAGCTACATGCGGGTGTACACATCTAAAGCGCTGCTCAATGAAATCTGATCGCGTGAGTGAGTTTGCGCGCTGCACCAGTGCACAGCCCGGTATGCGCAGGTCTGCGACTGGACAGCGTCCGGCATGATATTTCCTCACGTGATTGGATTTCATCGAGTGACACAGTAGATGCACGGTGTGTGCTGCAATACAGGCGCGTGGCTGCATGCATGCAGTTGTGCACGAATCAGTAGTGCCAAGAGTCCATAACCCCCAGAGTGTGCAACGCGCGATAGGGTCTTGTCACGACTCGCTTTCGCACATTACGTCATTTTCATGTAGCGAACGTTGCGGCCTGCACGCGCAGCAGCTACATGAAAATGACGGAATGTTGAAAATGAGTCTTGACAGTAGGGGTTTCCAGATTATCTTTTTGAATAATGGGGTGTTTTTTGGATCTTTGGAATTTTTTCGAATTTTGCTGTTTTCCCGTGAATTTTCGCAAATTCGAAAATTTTCCGGAATTTTTTGCCAAATTCTACCTTTTTTAGACCTCTTTTTGAGGTATTTTGAAAATCTGGGGGACCAAAGCCCGGCAAAGGCACCAATCACGTGCCACGATGGGCCTGAAAAATGTCGACGTCAGTGCACGCGGCCTCTGTGACAGACATTTATGTGGCGTTGCACACTCTGGGGGTTATGGACTCTTGGTAGCAGTGTATGACGGATGCATGCAGCAAGGTCCCGTGGCAGCAGAACATATACGGGAGAACTCCCCAGATCCGGGCAGGTTGGGTCCGAGCACTGCCCGTAACTCAGAACAATAAATGCATACTGCATGCTCGTAAATATTTTTTTATGCCAATCGATAGTTTTCAGGGCCGTTTTGCGTTGAAAAGCCCGTTTTTGGGACTCTAGATGGGCCAGTAAGGTGCCTGGTAGACATCCGGATCTGGTGAGTTTTACTGTACAAAAAAATTTAGACGGGTTCGCGTACCGGGCAGGTCAAAAACAAGGAGTCGTACAACTACTCCCTGGTCAAGAACCACCTTTCCGCTTCCGCTTACTAGCATAGTATGAAACAACAGCGGGGGCCGCCAACTTGCCATGCTGTCCAGCTTACCTCCATGTGGAAGATGGAGCGCGCCACAGTCAGGATGATGCCGCGCACGATGTGCTGCAGGCCGACGCGCACGCTGTCGTAGTGCAGGTACAGGCCGTTGGCGGCGGTGGGGTGCTTGGCGATGCGGAACGACGGCGCCTGCATGCCCGGGTACGTGAGCTGCAGGTGGTCGTGCAGCGCATCCAGGCTGGCCAGGAACTCTCCCAGCGTGCGGCCCAACAGGAGCAACACCTGCCAGCAAACACACACAGACACCATCAAGCGGTGAGACATCCTAACGTCGCCAGTGCTATGTTAATGTAAACCGGAAAATTTCGGTGGAGTTTTATTTTCGGTAACTGCGGCACAGGTGATTTTTACCTTAAATAAAATGCGACCTAAAATTCAACAATGCCACGCCATGCCACGCAGTGCGCAAAATGCATTTTTGAAGTGCATGCTATACTCAGTCGAGCATCACCAACCTGATCGTATCCGGACTCCTGGCACCATTTGAAGAACTGGTCGCCGAATTTCTCCATGAGTTCCTCGGAGTTGACATCTGTTACAAGTGGCAAGGAGTAGAACGAAGTGTAAATACATGTATTCTGTATAGTCAATACAGTCAACTTTACGTATAACCACACTCGGCGGGGCATCGGAAAAGTGTCCTTATTCGCGACGTGTCCTTATACCCAAAGTCTCATTATTTGTATTACAGTTAGATGGGACTTCGCTCTGGGCATAGAAAATCTGTCGTTATTCGCGAATTGTCGTTATATCCGCAGTCGTTATTAGCGAAGTTGACTGTACTTACCAACCATCAACAAAGTACGGTCAATATACTGGCCAAGTCCGACTGAATATGTCAAGTCACCTGATAATTGCATTTAGCAAGAACTCAAGAGTTGCGACAAACTCTAAAAACTCCTTTGTGACTCTATTGTGTGTAACTGTCACATGACTGATCGTACAGTGTATCGTGCTGTTACCATGGCAGGACATTTGATTGTACAGTGTGTAGTACTGTTACCACGGCGGCAGGACATTTGTATAGACATCCACTTTTGTATTGGGAGAGAGAATTAGCACCGGTTGCTGAAATAGTTGTCGAGATGCGTAGTGCAGAGCATATCACACGTGGAAGAAAGACCACTCGCAATTGGTTGCAAATCAGAGTTTCATGCTTGTGCAGCAACTGATATGCCGTTGTATATAGAGTGGTTTCAAATCTGAGTCATGTGACTAATTACATTCGTGTAGAAAGTGATCATGGCATGCGGACAGTGGAAGCAACATGGCCGATGTCATGTGACCTGTAGATGCAGAGCTAGGTTGAGTGGAGTTGGACTTGGAAGCAACATGGCTGTCCCGTATGGTCATCTGATGGATGTGCAACAGCTCTATTGTGCAGTTGTACACTCATTCCATATATAATCATTTACCAACATGTGCCCAGTTTAGGTGTACGACGGATATGCCATGCATTGGCCTTTTATGGACGCATGCATGATCACATATCAGTAGTGGTGAAACGAATGTCAAAACCTACTAGTCGAATATTCTTCAGATTAACGAACGAATGAACGAATATTCTTTTCGTAACACAGATGACATCACATGCCCTCCTCTCAGTCATTTGATGGATATTGTCAATACTAATATATTATTAGGTATGACAAACGGTAGTGCCACGTAAAATATACTGCCACATAAGGCTACTTCGAAGTTCATAAATGTTATGTGCAACATCGGCAGTCCAGTATGGACATACATGTGCATGCATGCAGTACAAAGTCACAGGCAGGCTGTACGCACTGCACTGTACCGTGTTTGGCGTCCATGTATGTACAGGCACTGCATTCGAAGTGACGTAACGAATACTCGAATGTGACTTAACGAATATTCGAATGTGCCAAACCGAACGAATGTTCGAATATTCGAATATTCGTTTCACCACTACATATCAGGCATGCTTCTGCTGGTTTGGTTGCTCTTTCCTTTGTGCCTTGCAAAACGCTGGCAAGAGTCCATAATCCCCCAGAGTGCGCAACTAGGATGGGGTTGTGGGACGGCGTAATCCGTGATATACGCCATTTTTTGGGTCGGACTTGCGTCATTCCGTCGACGTGGTCCACCACGGACACACCTCCCCTACTCATGATGTCACACTATGACGTGCAACACGGATTTCGCCGTCCCAGATCTGATCAGTGAAGTAGCGCACTCTTGGGGGATTATGGACTCTTGACGCTGGGCATACAAATTCTCCCCATGTTGACTTGGCTGTGGAACTACACCACAATGATTGGCTTCAAGCGTGCGGCTGTGTTTTCATGACAGATGTCAGCCAGGGTTCAACCTGACATGTACAGCACGTGGATTGACTGGAGTGTTTCCCTCATGCATTGTGCTTGAACAGGGTTGATTTCAATTCTCCATCTACTGGTAGGGGACGGTTGAAAAAAAAACCAACTACTGCAGCACTGAAGTGCGTGCTTGGCAACAGAATACCACAGCATTGCATACACAAATTCCCCCGTCAAAGTAGCCACGCGACCATGCAATACTCCATAAATTGAATACTGTAGTATGCAAATTCAGAATCTCCTTGGGTCAGCCCTCTTCATGTATGCAAAACTGCTTTAAAAAATTAAACTGAATCTCAGCCTGGGCTGAACTCGACCCGGGTTGAAAACTCTCACAGCATGAAAACAGGAAACACCACAATTACCACAGCCAGCAGCACCGCCGCCACCACCAGCAGCACCGCCGCCGCCACCACCAGCAGCACCGCCGCCACCACCAGCAGCACCGCCGCCACCACCAGCAGCACCGCCGCCACCACCAGCAGCAGCACCGCCGCCACCACCAGCACCGCCGCCACCACCAGCAGCACCGCCGCCACCACCAGCAGCACCGCCGCCACCAGCAGCACCGCCGCCGCCACCAGCAGCACCGCCGCCACCACCAGCAGCACCGCCGCCACCACCAGCAGCACCGCCGCCACCACCAGCAGCACCGCCGCCACCACCAGCAGCACCGCCGCCACCACCAGCACCGCCGCCACCACCAGCAGCACCGCCGCCACCACCAGCAGCACCGCCACCACCACCAGCAGCAACCGTCGCCACCACCAGCAGCACCGCCGCCACCACCAGCAGCACCGCCGCCACCACCAGCAGCACCGCCGCCACCAAAGTACAGTGCTGGCCAGAGAAATCCAACCTCATGAAAAAAGTAGCGCCGCGATCGAGTGCACAGACTAGTATGTGTAGTGCCCGGCGCTATTTTATTCATGAGGTTGGATTTATTTTCCCAGTACTGTGCATGCACTGTAGAAGACGTACCGAGAACGTGGCAGGCGGCTTCCACCAGCGCGTACGTGTCGTAGTCATCGTACAGCAGAGACTTCAGGAAGTGGTGCTCGTCCAGACTCACGCCGGCTTCTAATCTGCAAACGCAGTGCACGGTACACGGTACACCAGCACGCATGCACACAGACACAAGGCTCACATACAGCACAGCCAGGCCTCGCCCATCACCTGGTGTCCGTGCCCGAATGTATCCAGCGTGTTGACAGCATCCTCCATGACCTCCCCAGCATCATGATCATAGTAAATTATTTGCAGGCGTCGGAGCGTGGCCGTACGGTGACCACCAGCACAATTCCCAGGACCACTGCACTGAACGTGGTCGCCATCTACTGTTGTGGACATCGAAATCAGGTGCAATGACCGGGGCCGGCACCCTTACTTGCCTAGTGCGCACACGCACACTGAACACTTTAAAACTGGACCAGCAGTGATCACGGCTGCAAGGCAAGCGCCCCGTGGCCGCTTGGCGTCTCCGCGGACTTCAATGTCCGCAACAGTAGTAAGCGACAGCTCACCTGCCCAGCTTGCCGCAGGCACAGGCATCAGGGGCGTAGCTGTTCCCCCTTTTTGGGGAGGGGTGCACGGCTACATATGTGTAGGCTGGCTGGTGCATGTCATTCATGGTCATTATGTGCATGCTGAACACAGGGAAAGTTTCAGGGGGTGCACATGCCCCCCCCCCCCCCCCCCCCCCCCCCGTGCCCCATGCAGGCTACGCAAGGCAACACCGGACACCAAGCCAGCTACGATCAGGGGTAAGATGAGCATCTGCAGCATACACAACCCCCCCCCCCCCCCCTTGTCTTGTTCTATGTTGTTCTCCACATGTTTTTCAGTAGGGCTGTGTTCTTTATAAATAATAGAATGATAGTGAAAATACGCACAGACAGATCTCGCGGGGAACTAGATCAGACTTACAGCGACCTGGTTAGGGCTAGAGTGGATGGCGAGCAGGGCAGGTAAACACCCTACTTGTTTCCATATGCAGCTTACACCAGGGGCGCCGGAAGGTATTCGACATTGGTGCGGCCATGCACGGATGGAGGGGCCAGGGGGCTTTCTCCCGGGAAAGTTTACGGGGAATTGGGCCCAAAAAGCCCGTATTCCATTGCATAAAAATCCCAAGATGACATTATTGGTGCGGCTTTGGCCGTACCTGCCGCACCGGTTCCGACGCCCCTGTACATACAATGCTGATAGTAGACCAGGTGCGCTATGATGATGTGTGTGTGTGTACAACGTGCATACTACAAAAAAACCTGTAGGACGAAATGGGCACTGCACTGTTTCAAATCTGCAGCAGCACACCAAGCCTATGGCAAAAGTCTCTTGAAAGCAGCCATGCCGTACAGGAAATTTGTACCGATGACATGACTACAGTACTGCCGGGCACCGAAGAACGGACCGCCGAAGAACGGCCAGGCTAGAATTTCACCAATTTTTAAGAACAGTCTAGGCTGGATGTATTGCAGATAAGAACGGAAACCGTAATGTACACTACCGTATTTTCCGGAGTATAGTGCGCACTTTAGATGTGCTATTTTAGGCCCTAAATCGCAGGTGCGCACTATGCTCCGAATATGAAATGCATGTACTTCAATGAAGATTGAAGTGCGCACCCCCAATGAAGATTGGGGGTGCGCATTATACAAAGGTGCGCACTATACTCCGAAAAATACGGTATAATGTACACTCAGACGCTGCATAAATGTACACTATAATGTACACTCAGACGCTGCATAAATGTACACTATAATGTACACTCAGACGCTGCATAAATGTACACTCAGACGCTGCATAAATGTACACTCAGACGCTGCATAAATGTACATGTAACTTTGTAAGACTGTACCATCCGATAAGAATGAAACTGCTGTGTTCCCTAAAAATAAGAACGGGCTAGGCTAGGACCCTGACCCCCCAGTCCATCGGCGCCCAACAGTACTGTATGACATCGTGCACGTGCATGCAGCCTATTTTATTTATTTATTTATTTCACCTTCCCGTGGCCAGAGAATATAGGCCAATATGGAGGGAGGGGGGCGGTATTGAGTTTGTGTGCTTTCATCAGGAGTGAGACGGATGTGAAAAAACTGCTTCATCCCTGCTACTTTTCGTGGATTCCGCTTTTGGCATCGTTCAGCTTGATGAGAGCTGGGAGTTAGTTTCAGGCCCTTGCTCCTTTTGTCACATGGCGATCCAGAAAATAGAGGCGAAAGCTCTTTTGGTGGTGGTCGCCCTTATAGAGAAGAATTGCATGGCTTGCATGAATGTAGGCCACCGGGGCACCCTATAAGTGACTTTGTGCAAACATGGTGTGTAAGCGGGGCCCTGAACAGCAGACTAAAAAGCCATGTATATGTGCATGTGGGGATCACTTCATTAGAAAGGTGGCGCACATCGCAAATAATTCGTAAGACTGAAGATTGAAGTATTAGTTCACGTCAGAGGCGCACACGCCTAGCCACTCAAACGTGAATACAATGCCACCACACAGGAGATGAATCGCAAGGTTTCATGAGAAAACAAGAGTAACAGGGGCGTCGGAAGGTATTTTAGTGTGGTACGGTCCGCCATCTGAAGTACAATTTACTCGTGGGGGAGGGGTGGCTGAGCCGAAAATTTTGGAATTTAGAGCCCAAATCAGTGCATTTTATTGATCCACGGGGTACATGGGGCAAATAGTGGTACGGCCAATACCGTAGTGACCGTACCGTGTGCGACGCCCCTGTGAGTTAGTTATTCAAACACACACAAAATGCAATCGGGCTGTGTAGCTATGTGTCCCTGCCAATATCAAGAGCTCTCTTGCCATTGTGTATAAAGAAGAAAAAAACCTCAAGTCCCTCAACCATGAGGACGCTGGACGCTGGGGCATGACTGTGCAAATGGCACCTTTAGTTTAGTGATGGTTGAGATAAACTGGGACATGAGCTATAGGCATCATGCCGTTCTGCTCAGGAAACGGTACTTGAAAGACGCAGCATGTGTCGATGTGAGCCCAAAGCCCTTCGTTTGTTGTGTACCATGATAACGCCCCAACATTTCTTTCAAACATACAAGGACGAGATCATGTGGCCTTGGCTTTGGCTAAACCAAAGGCCCCCCTCCGCCTCGCAGGTCGTGCGTGGGACTGAAGGCGTACGTTGATCGACTCGTATATACGCGACCACACTTGGTCAAATTTTCAAAAGATCGTGCCAATGCCAAGCTAGCTAATCAACTTACAAAACTTCCTTCCATTTTTCAAAGCCGTACGTGCGAATCACCAAGTTCTCCAAAGCGTTGTTGACAAACCCGAACTGGAGGAGAAGCATGACACCCAGAAATCCGAGGTGAAGTGTATGTTCCGGAATTATTCGGAGCGGAGAAGCATTGCACTCACCATGGTTGATGGTCTACTCAAATAAGCAGCTTGCCGCGAACAGTTTTCTCACCGGGTGTCCCTCAATTCGTTTTTCTCCGCCCAATACTTCACAGTTACATGACATTGGCCGAAACTCTCAGTACCTTTGGGCAAGCCGCCCCAAATTCTTCAAGCGGAGAGGGAGAAGCTCGATCAAGCTGTGATCCCACCTACCCTCAAATCACCAGTTTAGGCAAGAACAAACGTGTGATTCAGGAAGCTGGGTTGAGCTGTGGAAGGTGCCAAGCTGCAACGTGGTCAGCAAATGCCGAAATGGCATGAACAGTGATCATGGTGATGACACTTTGTGAGTTTGTCAGCTTTTCAAGAGCTTGCCTTGTACAGTTGTAGAGAACTGGGTCCGCGAAGGCTACATCACTTCAAATCACCGGCACTGCACTGCATGCAGTACTATTGCGACATGTCATCGTGCATCAGGCTTTCCACGATCTGTACGCATGCATGGTACCGGTAGCGATGCGTATACATGTGCCCCATAAACTGATCTTTACGTGGGTGCAGTTGTGCCTGATTTGGAGATTTTGGACTGCACAGATCGAGTGCATTTTTAGCTATGCCCTTGCAATGGCTTTTTCTTTTCTCGCACGGGAAACACACTCACACACATATCGGGCGACGTTCGCGCGATACGCACGAGGAGCCAAATCATGGCAAATGAGCTCGATCAAGTCCACTTTTCGCCATGCGACATACTCTATGTATTGCTACACAGTACACGTACAGTCTAGTCTGTAAGACTTAGTAGGAAGTCACTTCAGAGAACAACTCCCTGAGGCTGAGGTAAATAATTCTGCTTGTGAACCTTGACCATGTACTCATGTGTACCAGGTGTACTAACATGTAGCTAAATCTACCACAGTACATGTACTGTCAGTATTACTAGTAGCAGGCCAGCAGTCACGTCTGACGGCTGACGTGTGTGAGAGCTGTGGACAGCGACGCAATCAGTTCTCCCTTTTCAGGCCTGGGCGGCTTGCACAACCCTCCAGACAAGTACGAGAAGTACCGTTGAAGTAGCAGCTAGTAAGCATACCAAGCAAAAAATAGTTTGCCAGCAACAACCTTGGCCTTCGGCATACTCGACGGAAAGGGCCGGATGCGGCCTCGTTGAAAGTCGGAAGGTTTCGTGGCCACAAGTTTCATCTCCAAAGGCATGTGAAGCTTTGTGTTCACCAATACACTAATACCTTGCACCTGACCATGTTCACAGTCGTGGTTGTCTGTTGCTTTTCATCGTAAACCGTATTGGGGCGGAGCCGCGGAGGTACAATCCCTGACTTCCTGAGTTAGTTCTTACGACTCCATTGCTTTAGTAACATGGACGTAAAAAAAATAAAAAAAATTCACGGTTCGCGTGAGACTCGGCTGGAAGCCTAGCCGGGCTTTCCGCATCCGTAGGAACGCCACCACCCTCTAGGATCAAAGGCGCAGATGCAGCGCCTAAACGGTGGGAGGTGAGTAGATCAGCTCACCAGCAAGTGGTCAAAGACCAAAAATCCCATTCACTGCATCCATGTTTTCCTCGTGCCAGGCCACGAGTTCCCAATTAACTGTGGGTACCCCCGGGTCGCAGCACGGCTGGAAAAAATCCTTCCGCTTCCAAGCAGGACTTGAACCTGGTACCCTCTGTTTCTCAATCATGATCTTAGAGCTTCAAGTTAGACCATCCCACTATGCCTGCCTGCACACGGACGTAAGTAAGTGTTATACAGGTCCTCCCTCGTTAGTAGATAATCTCTGGGCCATCGAAAAAGTTATCTTATAATTATTGTAACGAGACTTATCTTGTAGCAGGACCTGCAGCTAAAGGTGAAATAGGAACTACTTCGTACTTACCGGGGCTACCCTCGATACAACATAAATTATCGATGCTTCAACTCGTTATAAGATAATTGAAAATCTCCAAGTTACTCCACCATAACTCTTCCTTGGATGCAAAGGATCGTCCATATTCACGAATACATAGACATAATACGTTTCCTCTTTCTGCTTTATCCTACGTGTTTTGGCCTTGGTCCTGCATGGTCGATATTATCTTATACCGGTACTGAGGGTTTGGCACTCCAGGGACCTGGGCAAAGGGTCGTTTAACGAATTTTATGTACTAACGGATTATGTTGTAACCGGACCTGTAAACAGTTGTATAGACCACGTTTCGCCAGGGGATTTCAGATTTCTATTTACTAACGGGGTTTATGTAGTAACCGGACTCGTTGTAATGAGGGAGGACCTGTTAATAATGTACAAGATGTACATGTACATGTACATGTACGTCATCCGACTGTGCATACTGGTACCGGTAGTAACGTTAGTTGCCCGCGAAAAAGACTTACGTGACAGTAGTAATGCGCATGTACGTTTGAGCTCCCTCTTCTCGATCCACCGACTTGACTTGCCACTTGACTGCCTCACCGCTGTCATTCAGAACACACAATTCCATCGGATTTCCGACTCGGAAAACCGGCAAGAAAGCACCACGTCCGGCTCGACAATACAGTGTTTCCGCCTTTCCGGGCAATTCACCTCTCATTAGTTGAGCTTCGGCAGGCTAAAGAAGTTTGTGTCTAAACTAAAGAGCACGGCTTTTACGGTACTAAGCTTTAGTTTACAGTTCTTCACTTTGTTTCCGAACACAGTGCGTCCTCCGCTTTGTAACAGTTTATATACATGCTGTCAACCACAAGCAAACAACGTGTTTTCAACCAAACAAGGCGTGTCTGACTGAGTCTACCAGAGCATACTAACTAATACTTAGTATAATATACAGAATACTTGTACACCCAGACACGTTCCGTTTCCAGTGCGACAAACACCTCGTGAACACCACGGCAGCAGGCAGCCGGATGTGTAGAACAAGTACTAAGTAAGTAACTACTCAGTATTTGGAGGACTGTTGCAGGGTCTGCTCTAGGATTGTAGGACAGCCGGGTACACGTGTACCTGGCGCAACCATTTCAACTGGGTCGGAGCCGGGTACACATGTACATGTACATGTACATACATGTACCTGGCGCTGTCTCACCAGCCGAGTCACATGCTTTAACTGGTTGGTTGGTTTATTTTAATTCGGACAATAGACGGGAACTAGGCCCAATGATATAAAGGCGAATGGATAAGCCGCATTTAGAAAAGAGAGGACAGGAATTAGAAAATTACGAAAGAAGAAGAAGTATTTGACACATACAAGCCATGTAGTCAGTCCTTTCAAAGTTCGACAGTACCAACCGGGTCACAGGTGACCCGGTATTATATTTTCAACCGGGTCCCAGCGCAGCCCAACCGGGTGGATTACCCGGCTCACCCGGCGCTGCAGCAGACACTGTGTTGGTCATTCGCAACGTTACGTTGTCACCTCCAAAGCAGCTAGTCGCAAGCCCATGAAATATTACCGTTAAATATGGTAACGACCTCAGCGATAGTGGTACATGTATTGCACTTCAAAGAAGAAACTCGGCGGTTGATCGCTCCAAACTACCGGTAGTTACTTTGGGCTTGGAGCTCGCGCTTTCGAACGTTGTGAGCAGCCAACTTTCTCATCCGGAAGGTTCAGTGACCCGTCGTCGCCGAGGCCGCTACCACTAATTCGATTACTACAAACCGTGAAACGTATACGTATGCGCATGCTGTGGATTACTCGGAAGGAGTTGTGGAGTTGCTGTCTGATGATCGGTTAAAACCGTGAAACGCTTTTGATTCCTCTCAAGTACGTATGCTGTGGATTCGGTAACTGCTCATGCCTCCTGGCGCATGGTTCCTCTTTTCGTCTAGACACCTAATTGTAGTACATTGTATTCGACTGCCAGTATTCGATCTGACAGTGCCCCAATTTGCCAAAGTATTCGTAGCACTGATGTGATTGCAGTGAGAGTAAATCCACCACCTGCATCAGCGGTCAGTGTCTCCGGCCAGGAGCTAGAGTCATGGCACAGTCGTGGAAAATAATACACAACGGCTTGCAAAGTCACAACTATTACTTACTTGGTGTTTCGAATGTCGGGAAATATCAGGTTTTTGGCAACAATCGGCTAAAGCCATGAGGTGCAACGCCATGACCAGATGACTGTACGGGCACATGACTTTGTGATTTGTAGACACGTAACACCTTTAGCACTAATGCTACATTTACCTGACTACATACTGTACATGCCATTGCTACATAAAGTCTTTATGTACTTGTAGCAATGACGTACGTTTTGTGTAGTCAGGTAAATGTACAGGCGATGTAGCATGCCCAAATTTAGAAATCATGGAGAGCCATGGATCGGATGGAGGAGCCTGACTAGACTCGTACGCGAAGTGAATATCAAACAGACGAAGAGGAGTTTTCCTGTTATGCCATAGGCTCTGGCCATAGCATCTCTGGTGCCGAAAGGCGGGCTAACGCCCCTACATGGCTACTTCCCCTTGTCTAACCCCCAAGACGAAATGATAGTAGCAGACTGGCCGAAATTTAAAAAAAAATCTCTAGCGATACTGAAGTAAACACAGTGACTGATCCATTGATAAAATTTAATTTGGACCTGGATGATTCGTTGAAGGAGCGGCTATATTACAGAAAGAGCTTGTTCCAAATAACTGCCTTTGCCGAGTCCAGCTCAGCAGGCGCGAAAAGAACTAGAGTTTCTCATGGACGCAGTACCAAGTCGAGTGAGTGCTCAGGAGCGCGTGTCTTACTTTTCTGGTGAAGCACGTACAATGATTATGTAGATCTACAGTTCGTCGTGGACGATTGTAATGCAAGGCCTACAGTCAAGTGCTATCAGAAAAGAAGAACTTTGTGGCCAACCATTTGTCTCCACGCTGCACGCAACCTCAGGAGAAGAAGACGGCTCAAGCAGAGGATGTAGAATTGTAGAGCGGCAAAATAACTTCTGACCAAGTGTTTTCAGGATTTCCGCAAATGGGAGGGATCTCGATCTGAGATCGTCCCTCAGGGACTGGCCTCACGTGAGCTGTTTCAGATGAAGACATTCAAGAGCGGAAGCAGTGCCAGCTTGTCTGCAGGCAGGATTACCACTTCCCATGATAAGCTTCCAGCATCCAAATGATCACCAGCAATAATGGTTTCACCTCTCATTACATGGATAAGCAAGGGAAAAGATTTGATACACCCACTATTCAGCCACAGCCCTGCATCAAAAGTAATAGTTGCAATGGAGAGCAGCCAATGGAGACGCGATCATGTCTTCTAGTACGGCTGAGAAGTGGTGGAGCTCGTGAGAGATATTGTAGCAGCTTCAGGGGCAGAT